CAGAACTGCTGTTGCAATGAAGTGGCCCTTGCAGAGCTCCAAACCAGTAGCAGCCATCCATGTCCAAAGTAACCCCGAACAAGCCTTTTCCCGTGGCTTGGCCTCAATCCGGGGTTACTTTGTTCCTCACTTGTCGGGCAAGGTCGAGGAAAGGCAGAACTGCTTTTGCAATGAAGTGGCCCTTGCAGAGCTCGAAACCAGTAAGTAACCCCGAACAAGCCTTTTTCCGTGACTTGGCCTCAATCCGGGGTTACTTTGTTCCTCACTTGTCGGGCAAGATCGAGGAATGGCAGAACTGCTGCTGCAATGAAGTGGCCCTTGCAGAGCTCCAAACCAGTAGCAGCCATCCATGTCCAAAGTAACCCCGAACAAGACCTTTCCCGTGACTTGGCCCAAATCCGGGGTTACTTTGTTCCTTACTCGACGGGCAAGGCCAAGGAAAAGCAGAATTGCTTTTGCAATGAAGTGGTCCTTGCAGAGCTCCAAACCAGTAGCAGGCATCCATGTCCTGTCGGGCAAGGTCAAGGAAAGGCAGAACTGCTTTTGCAATGAAGTGGTGCTTGCAGAGCTCCAAACCAGTAGCAGCCATCCATGTCCAAAGTAACCCCGAACAAGCCTTTTCTTTTTCCCGTTCTTGGCCTCAATATCCGGGGTTTACTTTTCCCCTCCTTGTCGGTCAAATGTGAGGAATGGCAAGAAAACTGCTGTTGCAATGAAGTGGCCCTTGCAGAGCTCCAAACCAGTAGCAGCCATCCATGTCCAAAGTAACCCCGAACAAGCCTTTTCCCGTGACTTGGCCGTTACTTTGTTCCTCACTTGTCGGGCAAGGCCAAGGAAAGGGCAGAATTGCTTTTGCAATCAAGTGGTCCTTGCAGAGCTCCAAACCAGTAGCAGCCATCCATGTCCAAGGTAACCCCGAACAAGCCCTTTCCCGTGACTTGGCACCAATCCGGGGTTACTTTGTTCCTTACTTGTCGGGCAAGGTCACGGAAAGGCAGAACTGCTTTTGCAATGAAGTGGTGCTTGCAGAGCTCCAAACCAGTAGCAGCCATCCATGTCCAAAGTAACCCCGAACAAGCCCTTTCCCGTGACTTGGATCAAATCCGGGGTTACTTTGTTCCTTACTCGTCGGGCAAGGCCAAGGAAAAGCAGAATTGCTTTTGCAATGAAGTGGCCCTTGCAGAGCTCCAAACCAGTAGCAGCCATGGCCCTTGCAGAGCTCCAAACCAGTAGCAGCCATCCATGTCCAAAGTAACCCCGAACAAGCCTTTTCCCGTGACTTGGCCGTTACTTTGTTCCTCACTTGTCGGGCAAGGCCAAGGAAAGGGCAGAATTGCTTTTGCAATCAAGTGGTCCTTGCAGAGCTCCAAACCAGTAGCAGCCATCCATGTCCAAGGTAACCCCGAACAAGCCCTTTCCCGTGACTTGGCACCAATCCGGGGTTACTTTGTTCCTTACTTGTCGGGCAAGGTCACGGAAAGGCAGAACTGCTTTTGCAATGAAGTGGTGCTTGCAGAGCTCCAAACCAGTAGCAGCCATCCATGTCCAAAGTAACCCCGAACAAGCCCTTTCCCGTGACTTGGATCAAATCCGGGGTTACTTTGTTCCTTACTCGTCGGGCAAGGCCAAGGAAAAGCAGAATTGCTTTTGCAATGAAGTGGCCCTTGCAGAGCTCCAAACCAGTAGCAGCCATCCATGTCCAAAGTAACCCCGAACAAGCCCTTTCCCGTGACTTGGCCCCTATCCGGGGTTACTGCGTTCCTTACTTGTCGGGCAAGGCCAAGGAAAGGGCAGAAATTGTTTTTGCAATGAAGTGGTCCTTGCAGAGCTCCAAACCAGTAGCAGCCATCCATGTCTAAAGTAACCCCGAACAAGCCCTTTCCCGTGACTTGGCCCCAATCCGGGGTTACTTTGTTCCTTACTTGTCGGGCAAGGTCAAGGCAAGGCAGAATTTCTTTTGCAATGAAGTGGTGCTTGCAGAGCTCCAAACCAGTAGCAGCCATCCATGTCCAAAGTAACCCCGAACAAGCCCTTTCCCGTGACTTGGCCCAAATCCGGGGTTACTTTGTTCCTTACTTGTCGGGCAAGGTCGAGGAAAGGCAGAACTGCTTTTGCAATGAAGTGGCCCTTGCAGAGCTCCAAACCAGTAGCAGCCATCCATGTCCAAAGTAACCCCGAACAAGCCCTTTCCCGTGACTTGGCCCCTATCCGGGGTTACTGCCTTCCTTACTTGTCGGGCAAGGCCAAGGAAAGGGCAGAATTGCTTTTGTAATGAAGTGGTCCTTGCAGAGCTCCAAACCAGTAGCAGCCATCCATGTCTAAAGTATCTTCGAACAAGCCCTTTCACCCGTGACTTGGCCCCAGTCCGGAGTTCCTTACTTGTCGGGCAGCATCGAGGAAAAGCAGAACTGCTTCTGCAATGAAGTGGCGCTGGCAGAGCTCCAAACCAGTAGCAGCTATCCATGTCCAAAGTAACCCCGAACAAGCCCTTTCCCGTGACTTGGCCCCAATCCGGGGTTACTTTGTTCCTTACTTGTCGTGCAAGGTCAAGGAAAGGCAGAACTGCTTTTGCAATGAAGTGGTGCTTGCAGAGCTCCAAACCAGTAGCAGCCATCCATGTCCAAAGTAACCCCGAACAAGCCCTTTCCCGTGACTTGGCCCCAATCCGGGGTTACTTTCTTCCTCACTTGTCGGGCAAGGTCGAGGAAATGCAGAACTGCTTTTGCACTGAAGTGGCCCTTGCAGAGCTCCAATCCAGTAGCAGCCACCAATGTCCAAAGTAACCCCGAACAAGCCGTTTCCCGTGTTTGCAATAAAGTGGCCCTTGCAGAGCTCGAAACCAGTAGCAGCCAGCCATCCATGTCTAAAGTAACCCCGAACAAGCCTTTTCCCGTGACTTGGCCTCAATCCGGGGTTACTTTGTTCCTCACTTGTCGGGCAAGATCGAGGAATGGCAGAACTGCTGTTGCAATGAAGTCGGGCCCTGCTGCAATGAAGTGGCCCTTGCAGAGCTCCAAACCAGTAGCAGCCATCCATGTCTAAAGTAACCCCGAACAAGCCCTTTCCCGTGACTTGGCCCAAATCCGGGGTTACTTTGTTCCTTACTCGTCGGGCAAAACCAAGGAAAGGCAGAATTGGTTTTGCAATGAAGTGGTCCTTGCAGAGCTCCAAACCAGTAGCAGCCATCCATGTCCAAAGTAACCCCGAACAAGCCCTTTCCCGAGACTTGGCCCCAATCCGGGGTTACTTTCTTCCTCACTTGTCGGGCAAGGTCGAGGAATGGCAGAACTGCTTTTGCAATGAAGTGGCCCTTGCAGAGCTCCAAACCAGTAGCAGCCACCAATGTCCAAAGTAACCCCGAACAAGCCCTTTCCCGTGACCTGGCCCCAATCCGGGGTTACTTTGTTGCTTACTTGTCAGGACTGAGGCAAGGCAGAACTGCTTTTGCAATGAAGTGGCGCTTGCAGAGCTCCAAACCAGTAGCAGCAATCCACCACCATTTGAACAAATCGCATGGCTTGTGGTCAGCCCAACTGGTTTTGCACTGAAGTGGGCTTGACAAGGCCTCGAACCAGTACCAGGCATCCACGACTCCATCCTAGAAAAGTGACCCTGCCGGGGCCCTTTCAAATGGTGTGGTGTCATTTTCGGGTTGCTGAGCGTGTTGTTCTAATGAAACGCCCCTTAAAACGCTGAAAAGCAGTTCCCCCACAATGTAGTTGGGCGTCCTACACCAAAACGTTCTAATCCGTAAACCGCGTAATCCGTAATCCGCTAATCATTGGGGATTAGGTTTGGGACAGGTTAGGAAATTTAGAGTTCGAATCCATGCCACTCCCAAATCAGCGGACCCAAGCCATTTGACATTTGATTTTACCAACATGGCCATAAAGGTTTATTGTAGGATTACTATAACCTTTCTGAAACTAAGTAGGAACCGAACCACCTGAAACGGCCAAGCGAGAAAAAAAAAAACCTTTTGACCTGTGGCACCCTTTGTTGGTAGTCTGTTTTTGAAGGGGTGTACCCCGGGACACCTCCCTTTGGAGGTGGATTCCTTTTGGCTTCTCAAACCAACCCCGGTTTAACGTATACCCGGGTAAAAAAAACAAACACACATGTGCCAAAAGGCTCCCGGGACCCATATAACTCCCGAAATTTAGCCCAGGTCTTTGGGCTCCTGGCAAACCATCCAGGGTTCCCCATACTTAACCCTTCCATTTCCTTAAGCCCCATGAAGAAAAAACATATATATCAGATTTTCAGTGATAGATTCCCTCTAACTCCAAGAGGGGAAGATCAAACATACACATTTCAGAAGCTAGGTTTTCCCTCTAAATCCAAGAGGGGACCATAAACTAGGTCCTCCAGTAGAAAGCCTAGAATAATAAGGGTACCCTTTTTTCTGTGGTCTATTTTAGTAGGGGAACCCTCCCAACCAAAAAAAAAAAGTGAGAAAGGGCACTGGGGGAGCTAGTAAAACATATTCTACGCAGCTGGGAACGGGGAATGGGGCAAATGGACACCAGCTCGCCTCATTGGACTCGAAGGCGACTCCCTCCGCGATGGTGATCTTCACGCACTGCGCGACCGCTCAACCCGAAACGCCCCCGAGCGCTCACAAAAAGACGCGCGGGTTCTTGCGGGTTCTCGGGGAATGACACCGATTTAACACCAGCCAACTGGAATTTAAGGGATTTGAGAAACGGAATGCCCCGGAGTTGAATGAGAGATGAGGGATAGAAACCAAGGGAATGACCCCGATTACTTTTCACCATCCAACGGGTGGTTTCCTTTCATTCAAGGCGTGGGTTCATTACCAACAGCCGCAAAGGTCTTTCCCTACCTATCGCACCAGCAAGCCTTTCTCGGCGATCGTGATCACACGTACAGAAAACAATTTGAGCCGCCGATCTCAGGGTAAGATCTCTTCACAAAGGCGCCTTCTCCTCCTCGCCCGGAGCAAAGGTCAACACGCCTGGGGCGCTTGCGTGGCTTTGCTATACCACCACCACCCTCACCACCACCACCAGCGCCACCACCACCACCGCCACCGCTGCCGCCCAAAGAACCCCCCCCCCAGCCGCCCCTTAAGTGTTCATGCCTTGCTGGGCCCTGCTTGGCTGTAGTAAAAAAAAGAGGCTTATATATTGTAGCCCTGAGATGAGGGCGCTGTTTTCACCAAATGCCTGCCCAAACCGCCAATCGGGCACCCTTGCTAGTACTTGATTACAGGATTTCAGTCAGGGTCGGAAATAAACACCAAAACTGTTCGCCAGGTTGCACATGTTTCCACATGGTGTTCGGCGTTCTTCTTTATTTTTTCTGGACCATTTTAGTGGATTCCGAGGTCACTGGACGTGCATGGCAATCACCTTTCAACAGAGAAAAAGCGGCACCGCGCACAGAAGGTCTGGGCACTGGAGAGCGAAGTAGTAGGATAAATACCATGAGTCGAAACCAGATTGAAAGCTTGGAATGGAAGGAGCAAGAAGTAGCCCAACTTTGGGTTGGGTGGGTTTCGGGTTTAGGGTTTAGGGTTTGTCTCAAAATCGGGGAACCCAAAATAAAGAGTGTTGTTTTCTTTTTGGCTTCCCTTTCAAACCACGCTCCGCCTTCCGCGTGCGTGTAGTCCTCGTCCTTCTTGGCACGGCCTGGCCGCCTCGGCACGTTGGGCACGGCTGAAACGTGGGTAGCCCTATGATGTGTTTCCTCAGGGATCCGGATGCATTATACACCTGAACATTGCAACTTGTCAGTGGTGGTTTCCCTTTATTTTCGTGGTGAAAAAGCAACATGGTTCAAATGGTTGCAAAATGGACATCTTTTAAGGAGCCCTGCTCTACTTGTCCTTTAAAACGGCCCAAGAAAGGGCACCGAGCCTCAAACATCGCGACACAGCCATCTTCATCCGTACGAAAGCTTTTGGTTGCTGGCCTGTTGCACTGGGTATTCCATAGAGGGTCTGGTCACAAAACAAAGCAATCATGCCAAATGCGCGTGAGTTTCAATTAAGGACCCTTCATTTGGGTGGGGGGGGTTCATGTCCACCCAACTACTTTGGAGGTGGTTCCCCATTGAAAATGATACCCACATCTGCTTTCCTTTTGGTTTCCCTTCAAATGCCAACCAAAACGAGGCTCACCACTTTGAGACTGTGTCTCAAAATAGCGGGACGCCCAAAATGATTGCTTCCTTTTAGCTTGCCCTATAAGTTTAACCCGAAAAAGGGTGCCATACTTAGATTGTCTGACAGTTAGGTAAATGGTTACCAACCCTGTTTAGAACCCACCTAGGTAGCTACCTGCACGGTGGGGGAAAAGGGAAAACAAAGGGATCTACTCTCTCTCTCTCTCTCTTGTGGGGGTAGTTGACTTTAAAGGGACCCCCCAAAATGTTGTCCGAACGACCAGTACTTTCGGCTTCCCCTCACCCTCCAGAACCCATAGCCAAAAAATGGATACCCCCTCAAACAAGTGTTTTCGGCTTCCCTTGACCCTCCCAAATCCTTGAAAAAGAAGAAGTTGATACTCCCCTCCATCAAAAGAACCGAAGAAAACCAAAAGCGCCACTTGGTGCCGCCGGAAACTTCGCGCGGCTCGGAGGCCCCGGCGTTTGATACCGCACCGAGGCCTCGCCATCCTGACACAGAACGGGGGGCGCCGGCGCCGTATTGTTGGGTCCGGGCGCTACGCATCCACTCGTCTTTCGGTTTTCGGGAACCAAAAGGCTGTGGGTCAAACACCGGGCAACCCCAAAATGGCTTGCCCTGGTAAATGGAAACAAGGGCTTGAACCTGCGGGCGCTGATGCTTTAATTTTGACCCATACCCAAATGGTGAAACCACAGGAAAACGTGGCTCGTAAACCGCTCAAGACCAAAAAAAAAAACGGTGGTGTACCCATGGCAAGCAGACGTTGTAAGTGCTGGTTTTCTTATAAGGAACCTCAACCGAACAAGTATCCCTAGCCTTCCTACAACAAGGGAGCGTCCAATCTTCCGGCGAAGGGAAACACCCCGAAATGGACATCTGGGTGCGCTTGTGGGGGACCGTCTTCGATTCTGCAAATATGTATATATATATATATATGTGTGTGTCTGTTTTAAGGGTTTCCTTTCAAATTATAATTCCAAAAAGGGGTACCGGCAAACAAAACGCACCATGTCTCCAAAAATTGGACCCATGTTCAGGACCTACATGGGTTTTCGCCCGTGTCCCGTGGGCTTCCCAAGTAGGCAGATTCAACGCGGATTCTTCGGTTGGCCGAAAACGACCAGAGTAGACCACACACAACACAAAGGTTGCAAGATGATGTCTGTGTTCCAGCTTGATGGTGCCTCTGGGGTTGTTACATCCCATGGGCTCTCCAAATTTAAAGGCAAGTCCGTGTTTCAACAAAACACAGGAAACACATAGGTTTGTCTCAAAACCAGGAGAAACCCCCAAGTTGGTGGTTTGCCTTTGGTTTCTCTTGAACCAACCTCGGTACCATCAAAACAAGACAGTCCCATGCAACATGCCCTCTGGCGCCCTTTTGGTTTCAAGGGAAGCCTTGGAAAAGCAAAAGTCAGCTCAGGGCCGCTCATTTGTCCATGGAGCGCGGGTCGTGTGGGCGTTTGTTGCGCATGCCTGTTTTGTGTTGTTTCAAAGGAGAACCAAAAATACACTATCAGGCCCTGGTGTGCGGATTGAGAAAGATGACGCAACCCCCTCAAAAAAAAACAAAAAGAAAGAAAGGTGTGTTGATAAAAATGACGCACCCCCCCAAAAAAAAACAGAAAACGAAAAGAAAATAAACACATGTGTGTGTGTGTCCTTTGGTTCCCTTCACATCTACCCCTATAGACCGGCCCATTTGGGGCACGGTCAGTTAATTTCCTCACAAAAGGACATGAACCGTGAGGTGCTGGTCACTGCCACTGCCTTTGGCGCTGTGAGTGTGACAGCCCAAATGGCCAACTTGGGTTTCGGGCATTTGGCTGTGGGTCAAAACCAATGGTACCATTTTGGGTAGGTGCACCACCCATTTTAGAACCTATTTTAGTGGTTGGATTGGGATGTTCACTATTTTGACTCATGGCCATTTAGGTATGGATCATTTTTGTTCACAACCAGGAATTGGACTGCAGGTTTCGGTCCATGTTTCCATTTAACCAGGGCAAGCCATTGTGGGGTACCCTATGTTTGACAACCACTGCCATTTGGAGACAAGCTGTTCAACTCCGTCTGGGGATTTTGTCGGGGCCCGTCTGGGCCCCCGGCGTCCGGTCCGGGCAACCGCCGGACACGCACGAAGACCGTGCAGTCCGGCACCACGATGCCGATCTTCTCATAGGCGAATTGGAAGCCTCGAACGGAACCCTTTGAGGTACTCCTTTTCGGTAAAGAGCGGCCAATAAGCAACCAATGATTCTGAAGGTCCCTCTATTTTGGGGTAACCCTTTTGAGGTATCCGTTTTTTGGGGTTAGTTCAAAGGGAAACCAAAAAGGAACACCTATTTTGGGACAACCCGGTTGGGAGCTTCTCAAAATGGATTTCGGACACCCTTTTGACCGAGATTTGAAGGGAAACCAAACGGAATCCGTAAATTGAGAATCCCCCCCTCAGTTGATTTGGGTGTGAATTTCAATGAATAGGTGCCGGATCCTTTGCTGGACATCATGTAGGTGAGGATTCATGTCCGGCCGCTCGCCGGCCATTGCAGGGGGGGCTGGGGCCTTTCACCCGATTCCCTGACAAAGCATAGGGGACCCTTGAGGTTTTGTACCTTTCAGGGGGAACTCCTCGACTTGAAACCCACTACAGTATATAATATATCTATACATATATATATATAGTTGTGTCATGTCAATGTATGTATGTCTATTAACACATTCATACATTCTATATATATATATACATAGTCTTGCATGAAACGCCAAACAGCGCACGGCGCGGCGAACTCCGGAGGGCCAGAAGCCCAACCACACCCTCGCCATAGGCTTCCCGACTCGGCGCCTTCGGTTCCTGGAAAGCCGCGAGTCAGCCTTTGCCCTAGGTCCTCCAGAGAGGTTAGAAAAACTCGGTTGCAAACTCTGCTCTGCTACAAGTGAATAACTTTTAGTGGTCCAATACGCAAAACACATCAGTTGGCAAAAAAAGTGTTCGAGTCCTAACAGCCCTTGGCACATTCACCAAAGAAAAGGGTACCCTTATTTTCTGTACAAAAGTCTTAGGGTAGAAAATAAGGTACCTGTATTTTCTGTATAGGTCCCCTTAGTATTAGGTAGAAGAAAGGGTATCAACTTTTTTCTGTAGTCTATTCTAGTAGCCTTTACGCGTGGCACCATTCAGCTTGCCGCCAGGCCGTCTCAAGAGGCCAACTCTTGACCCCTAACCAAATTGACGGTCTCAACGGCTCAGGTGATGTCAACGGATGAAACGTGGTCCATTGGCTCTGATCCTTGCAGGTTCGGTGTAGCTAACTTGGGTTCAATTTCTGGTTTGGCTTTGGTCCATTTAATCCCTTTGGGCTCGTTTTGGTTTGCACATCTGGGCCTGGTGCCGGCAAGCTGCTCCAAACAACTAGACCAGCCGCACCAATCCTATATGGCCACCCATTCAGGTGAACACCAAAAATCTGGCTGCAATTCAGCGGCAAAAACAACTCAACACTGAAGCACTACTGCACCAGGGGGCACACTAAACAATGTTCGTGCTTCTCGTTTCTTCGCAACTTATGTACTGCAGGTTTTCTTTCAAGGGCAACCGTGTAAAGGTTCTTCCCAATCCCCGCCTTTGGCTCTTCCTTCTCCGGACCTGGCTCGGGTGGACATCATGCAGCTGGCGGCTTTATGTCCACCATTTGGCCGGCCCGGCTTAGTCCTGGGAAAGCACACCATCACCAAATGAGGCCGAAGATCCATGTAGCTTCGGTAAAGGGCACTTGGGCCTCAAAGTGACCGCCTTAGCCTCTCCACTTCTTGGATTCTTAAGGGCCGTCAAACCTGGAACTCCTTCGAGGCCAAAAGGCCTCTTCGTTCCGCTACGCTGCTTACCACAGAAGAAATACAACTTTGGGAGTGGTACTCAATTGCAGCCACTTGCAAACCTGACACCATGTTGAAAGGTCGGCTCGGGACGACTGACAGTGAACCAGACTAGTAGCAGTAGGAGCCACAAGCAGAAATTGTCCTACAAACTATGTCTTTGTGTGGGAAAATCAGCCCTGTGATACCCAAGCGGGCCATCCCTATTACTACTGGGTCACTTTAAAGGAGGTTCCCTTGGTATGACAAAAACATAGTGCAACACTAAGAAGCCAGCCCAAATTAAGGATATGGTTGCTTTGCTCATCCATTTTTTTCTGGGGGCAATCAAACGAGTGCCTCCCAGCTGCATCCTCCACCGGAACCAATAGGAACGACTTTCTTGCTTTCTTTGGTTGTCGAATGTTTCGACTCACTTGCAAGATCTTGCAAGCATGCGACACATTCAAACCCTACCGGGTAGCCCATGCCGATTGTTGTAAATACAATAATTAGGGTTGCCTTGAAGAGCGCTACTACACTTTAAGCTTCTTTTGGGTCAGTATTGCTGCAATATGTCAAAAGGACAAGTGTAATTACTCAATCTCTGGCGACCCAAACAACAATCAGTTTCACCGGTGATATCAACTGACTCTGACGGACCATTGCAGGTCATGTTCACATTCCGGTTGGTTCCCACATGGCGCACGGAAGCAACAAACCAAAATATATGGACAATTCCCAGCCGAAGTGCATACCCCACAAGCACCAACGGAACCCGCTGGCCCTGCGTTTGGCGGGAATCACCCGCGATAGTATGATCCTCCAGATTGATACGAAGCTGACATTAGGGTCCCCCCATTTTCACGTCACTTCGCGTAGGCCCGAAGTAAAGGCTCCACGTCCCCAACTGAGCGCCCAAACCGAGGGACTTTTGATTCTAAGCCAACTGGCTGCATGGACACCTTCCATTTGCTCGTGTTTTGCTCGTTTGCTAGTGCGTTGCCCGTGGTTTTCATAGAAAAAACGATTCCCGCTCATGTGCGATCCGAAGCAAACACCAGCCTTTGCTGCTGATGGACTGGGACACCTAGGCGCGAGATGGAAGACACTTAGTAAAGAAACACACAAAACACCCATGGGCTTGTTCAAGCTCCGTTAAAAAAAAAGAGGTCTGTCTTTTCTTGAGGATATGTTCTTTGAGTGATTTTAAGGGGACACCAACCATGTTGGGGTCCTATTTTTTGAGACAAGCCCATGTGTAGATGCTTTTTGTTTTAACCAAATTACAAACCGCCTTTACCAGCTCTTTCAAAGGGTTCTACATGGCGACTTTTAGGTGCATCCTAGGGGCGGGTTTTTGGAGGTCATCCCAATTTCCAGGAGTTAAATGGTGTGTGAATGCCATGGAGGGAACAGGAATGGAATGACATGTCAAGGATTCTACATTTGGTCGTTACAGCGGATACAGGATGGTGAGTGAAGATGTATGAAGGAGAAGTCTCTTGACAGGCCTTTCGGTGGTTAATGAAGGTACGAAAAGATCCAATATAAATAGATTTTAATTAGAATCCTTTTAACCGTTCATTCTTCACTTCTTTCATCTATTAATTCCCTCTTTCTTTCTCCTTTACTAATTTCCTATCTTAATCTCAACATCAACCATAATAAAGGGAATTGGGATGCCTGTTGATCAAGGGAAAGGAAATCATGTGTCTTATCCCTTTCTTTCACTCGTCAACAAAGGAAAATATTAACGAGAAAAAGATAATGTCCTTCTTCCTCTAATTCCTTCATGGGATGGCTGTTAACTCCCGACTGTTGAAGGGAGGAGTGGGTGAATGGTAAAGAGGGAAGACCCAATTGGGTAGTGTTTTTTTGTTGGTGCTCGGGGCCTATACACTGCACACATGCCTACGCGAGCGCCTACGCAACGCCTCCGCGACTGCAAGGGGCGCCTACGCGCGCACGTTTGTCTCTTGTCGCGCCTACGCGGACGCCTACGCAAGAAAATCGCGCGCCGCTTTTTTCCAGCTCGAGCTTTGCAATGCCAGGTCAACCGTTGTCTGACACAGATGCAGATGATGTAGAAGAAGCAGATGATGTGGAAGATGATTGCACCGCCAAAGCGTGATAACATGTTTGATTTCCCAGGGATCCCCTTTGCCGTGGCTCTGAATCAGCATTTGAGCAGTGTTTTTTTGGTGGTTCGGGGCCTATACACTACTTGCGCGCCTACGCGAAGGCCTACGCAAGCCTCGGGCAAACGTTGAGTTCAAGTGTCGAAGTGCACTGTGGCAGCTCCAGCTGGAAAATCGCAACCTTTCAGTGCAAGTGCAGTTTTGGCAGCTCCGGCTCTAAGATCAAAAGTGCAGCACAAGTGAGTCTGGCTGCAAGAAAAGGTCTACGCACCCAAAATGAGTTGAAAGCCTACGCGAATGCCTACGCGGGGCCTACGCGGAGCCTACGCGAAGACTGCTGAACAAACCCATGCCCATCCATATGCGTTGTAAAACATAAAGCTTCAGACAACAACTCCATCAAGTGCCTACGCGCGCCTACGCAAGAAAAAATACAAGGATGTGCGCGAAATGCCTACGCGATGCCTCCGCGCGCCTACGCCCCCCAGCTAAATTGCCTACGCGGACATGATGCAGTTCCCTTTTTGTATAGTTCCTTGATTCCAAGAAAAAAACGCTGCCCAATTCGCCTTGGATTCAAGGGAGACCAAAATGACACCCAACTCCATGTTTGGTGTCCATGCCCTATTCTGACACGTACGTGGGCTCTCAAAAATCGAAACCCCCAAAAGACTTGGGGTGGCGTTTTTTTGTTTGGATTCCCAAATCGACCTGAATGTACCAATAAAAACTGGAGAAAACGCATCTCCCCCCATGGCCATGGGCAACTCGCTTCCGATGGAGTGGATTGGCCCAAGAGAAACGTAGCCCAAATGTCTGGCACGCTACAATGGCAAAAGGTGACTCAAGTCCAGGAACGGAACTCAGGAAGTGAGGGGTTCCGAGCCCGCCTTCAAAAGAAAGGACACCCGAAAAGCGCTTCTGGATGTCGCATGGCAAATCAGTCTACTTGAGCTTTTATTGTTCCAATTGGCATCGGTTTTTTGGGCAAACCAAAAGGAAACCAAAAGGAAACCAAAAGGAAACCAAAAGGAAACCAGAAGAAAACCAAAAGGAAACCATGCGAATGGGCACCTCCTTGCAAAACGCTAGTGGCAAACCGGAAGTGTGGGCTTGAGACACCCAAACCCTGGAGGGCATTAGCAAGCCTGCCCCAAATCACAAGAAGCAGGATTGGGGGTACAACAAGCTCCGTTTCTTTGACCACAAGTGGAATCAATTCAACGCACCCACTGGACAGCTCTCGGAGCCTCAACTGGAAATGCATCAAGGTAAGCTTAAGGCCATCGCACCGAGGCGTTTGGAATCTGACAAATTTAATCGCTCTTCTAAGGAGTTCCTTCCTCGCCGGAAATCCGGAAGGATGCCAACTCAAATGGATTTCTCAAAAAAGAGAGTAGGTCCCGCAAAATACCAAAACACAAATCCTACAAAAGCCACCCCCTAAAAAAAACATACAAACTCAACATAGGAACCAAACCATAACCTACAAAAGCTACCCCTAAAAACAAACACCCCCCCTCAACATAGGAACTGAAAAGCTTAGCTCCATTCAATGCCCAGGCCTGGCTCTCAACGTCCACTGGCGCCACCTTCCGCATATCCTTGGTGCCCTGGCTCCAAAAATCCATCCGCACCGCGCCACGAATGTCCGGCTCAACACGATTCACTTCAGTTCGGTTCATGTCATTTGAAGCCACTTCAGGTCATGCATTTTTTTCATTGGCGGACTTCAACAAGAGGATTTAAGCAGAACCCTGGTGCAAGCCTAACTTGCCATCTCCAAAGCTGTTGGCTGGGGACAGACGCGCGTTGGGGGCTGTGAATCCCTTTAGCTCCCGACAGGGACTGCGTATTCAACATTATTTAACGTAATGTTGCAAGACTTTGTGTATCGCACCTGGGATCAGAATCCAGAGTTGCCCCTATGTTGCATCGAAAGTCGTTGCTTGGACTAATTTGGGCCCCTTCCCGTCGGGAATCTCAGGGTGCAAAGCGAGATGCAGGGGTTTCAAAAGACCCTGTCAGAAGGGCACTGTATAGAGGCTTGGCTGCGCTAAAATGGGGTTCAACGAGGGCTCGGTAGTCATGGGTTTGCCATTGCGGTGGGATGTGGGAGGAACAGAAGTACAACTACCATTTGAACACAAAAGTGCTTTTTTGTCTAATTGGTTCGCTAAGCTTACTAGTCTGGGGAAAACATGATCATTCCCAGGCTGGAAATCAGGAACCCGATGATGGATAACCCCCTGGTTGATCAATGGAATCGGGGGTGTCCCAAACTTGTTCGAGGGAATCCACATCACTTTTGGCGAATCTAAAAACCTCCAAATTCTACTTACATGGCTGTGGGACAAATATAGATCTTCAAAATGGACTCCTGCTAAACAAATGTAAACTTCAACTAAAAACTGCGGTCTGGGGGTGTACTGTTGACCCCACCGCATCCATCAACCTTCTCCCCCCCCCCCCCGCCTCCTTCTTGAGACCTTCCGCTTTGGCCTGTTGCCGCTCCACCTGGGACGAGGCGGCGCCCTTTGTATCTAGGCATATGGCACCAACAAAAACAATGGGGAAATCGATAGCGTCCATTGTCCATCAAAATTTAGCATCCCGCCCACTAACATACCAACACAGCACCTGATACCTCAGATTCCGCAGGTTTGTGAGTGGAGGGAGGCTCGGCCTAAAAAGCCGCCTTCAAAAAAGAAAGCCTAGGGAGTTTTGTCCGCGTCAAGATGTCAAAACCCAACCCCTGGATTTGCCTTGGAAAAGAGCCACGTGTGTACGTCTGAGGGTATCCTGTTTGGGACTGCAAAAGGGAATCAGGGAATGGGGCCGATGGAAATCAAGGCACTTAGCTGGCATTTGGCTCGTGTGCCACACGTCACATGCCAGCACCTGAAATGATTGAATCTCACAGGAGCTTCTGAACATATTCAAAGGGAAGTCACAAGGAAACCAAACATCCAGAAGAAACCGGACATCTAGAGGGTCTAAATTGTGAAAACCATCCGCATTGTTCCAGCCCTTTCCTGCGTCCTCCCTTCCTTCTTGACTGGAGTTGCTCATCTTTTCATTCTGTGTTTCTTGCTTACTTTCTTACTTACCTGCTGGTTTCGCCACTTACTCACTTCGTCACTTAAGTGCTCACTCCCTCACTCCCTCACTCCCTCACTCCCTCACTCCCCCACTCCCTCAGTCCCTCGGTCCCTCAGTCCCCCAGTCCCTCACTCCCGCAGTCCCTCACTCCCTCAGTCCCTCACTCCCGCCCGCTCCCTCACATACTCCTCACTTACTTGCCCACTTCCTATTCCTGCTCGCTCACCTCAATTATCTAACCGCACGGACTCGCGCAGACATGGCCTCGATGAGCTGAACCACCTCTTCCTCTGTGAGGTGGTGCCCATGAACCTGTCCGTCTTGGGTTTCCGGGAAAGTGAGGCGGAAACATCTCAAAGGTTTCTGGGTTGCTTGGCAACTGAGCCGAGTAAAAACCGCAAGCCGACGTGAAGAAGTGAACTCAACACATGGGACCCCACTAACATGGAACACACCAAAGAAATGTCGGCCCCTTTTCGAGGAAACTGGTCCAAACTGGCACCCCACAGGTAGATTCATTGCAACGTCTGTGGAATACAAGGCCACCGTTGTTGGTTGGCCTTGATTGTTCATTGCCAAGTCAAAAACGCATCTTTTGTCGCAAGGCTGGCCTAGTTGCTGTCGATCAGGAAAAAGTTGCTCACGCCAGGAGATACCATTGAAACATCTCGTATCCGAAACGAGTGGATTGGCCCAAACATGTCTAAGTATTCTGTGCACCAAAATGGCCTTGTCAAAAAGAGGCCGAAGTCCGGAACAGTGGGAAGTGGGTGTGGCTCAAAATGAAACAGGAGGGGTTACGCAGGTTTTGGTCCATGTTTCCACTTACCAGGGCAACCCATTTTGGTACCGGTTTTTTGAGCCACAGCCAAGGTGAGCAGTGAGCCATGTTTTAAACCCAGTTGCGGCCGAGGAGAAATATCGAATCCCTTTCGCGGAGCTGTTGCGGCACAAAAGGTGGCTTTTCGCGAAGCAGCTTTCAATGAGGGAGTCGCTTTCGCGCAGCAAGAAATGGGTTTGACTGTTGTTGTTTTTTTTCCTTTCCGCTTTGGCACATGCAGGACAACTACAATTTGGAGTCTTTGGGAACGGACAAGCTTGGGCCGATTGAAGCTTGAATGGGCAACACAGAGGGCCTATACGGATTTCAAAGCTCATCACATGCCTCCTTACTTGACACCTCGTTGCTTGTGAGTTGTGGCAACTGCAGTTGCTCGATGCCAAACCCACCTCCCAAAGCCCTACTTACAGTCATGCATGCAAACAATAATTTAGAGATTGTGGCCCTTTGGCGGGTACACGAATGACACACCCCTTTCGTGAACCTGTTTTCAAAACGATCATCAGTTTCTCACAAATTATGGTTTCAGACGCAGGGGTTTTAGAACGTCACTCAAGTCAGTGATCGCTACGAGGCCTTAGAAGGGGCAGTTCTCCTGCCACCCTTAATTGTCCATTGTTGGCCCAAACACATGAACCCACAAGTGTCCAACGCAAAGCGAGGATCCTCCGTGTGCTATTAGTTGTTGATCTTTCATGTGTGTGTTTTTTGAAGTCACCGTGCCGGGAACCCGGTCCTTCGAAAAAAAATGCATGAACTTGCTGGCACCTATTCCAGCTCCCAGTCCAATGATTCAGAGCCATAGCAAGGGGTGGGCGCTGAATCTTGGTCAACGTCCAACCCTAAACCTAGGAAGTAACAATGTTCTTTGTTCGTGATCTCAGTCAAGGGCAAAGATGTAAAATGGAACCGCGCTTTGACTCAATAGGACACAGCTCCCTTGTCTTTTTACCCCTTTCCCCAAACGAATGAACTGTCCCTGATTGGTGGGACCAAAAGCACATTCCCGAACAAGTTGACAGAGTGGTTAAAACAGATATTATTACTTCTCCCAACAAATTACAGGTTGTTCAGAACGTTAACCTCCCACCACGTTACATGGAAGTGCAAAAAGACCCTGTCCAAGAGGAAAATCGTCTTTCTAGAGGGGGCTGTGCACTTGCATGTTAGCTGGGAGGGTAACCCAATGGGCACCCGGTGATGAACTCAGCCCCAATGGGCGCCTGGAGGAGCTGGCTCTGAATCTTCGCCAGGTCCTCCTCGCTGATCTCTGCACCTCACTCGAGTCCCGAGCCGAGTTTGTCACGAGCCCCGCACGACTCGAGTCCAAGATCTGAGCGGAAAAAGGAAACCGCAATGCAACCAAGGAAAGTATCCGTATGCACGTGTTTGGATAGGTACTGTAGATGCAATATGAAAATATGTACGCATACCTACATATTTTATAATATGACGACTTCCGTCTGTGTAACAGGTCTGCTCAGGGTCACTTTTGCTTCATTCCCATTGACTTGCCGTCGTTTGACTTCGTGCTTTCCACGGACTCTTCGCAAAGAGCATTCAAACTCCGCACGATTCCCGTCCAGCCTGCTTAATTCTCAACTATGGACGCTGAATCGTCCCAAAGTGTGCAACTTCTTCAGTTCGGAAAAGTATTGCCCTTTCTAAAGCACTGGTGATGCTGGGGGTGTCGCCCACTCAATACCAAACGCACGTGGAGGCGTAAACCGCACATCTAGGGAAAGACCTTCGCCATAATTTGGGATTGCCTGGACGCACGTGCTGCATTGCGGCACAGGATTGACGTGGACACAATTTCTGACTGCCCAAGTGACCAAAATGATCAGATGCCAATGCCAAGGCTTGGGTATTTCTGTTTGGAATCACATACTTTGAAATCCCACCTGGGGCTCGCGGTGTCGGGATTTCAAAAACAAAGACACTAGGACACCCCACACACACACACACCGGGACCGCTCAGGCGTGATTTCAAAATAGGTTTCTCCAAAAAGAACAACACTGGAGCCGGCGGGACTTCAAACAAAACGCTGGGACTGTGGTGCTTTTGTTTGGAATCACCAGTCGCTCACTCACTTGCTTGCTCGCTTCGTCTGTGAATGCACACGCACCAACATGAGAATCCAAGATGACAAAACACAACTTCAGCACGCATGTAAACTCAAAAACAAAAACACCATTCCCAATGCCAGGTTTCCCGTTTTTGAAGGGAACTCCAATGGAAGACAAAAGGACTCTGTCTTTCGTTGGCTTCTTGCCAAGGGTTTGAATGTTGTCAGGGGCACATTTTCTTGGGTGCCCCTGTGATTGGAAACAGGGCGAGGACTAAGCTTGATATCACAGTTGAATATCCGACAATACTACCAGAAACCCATAGGGGACCATCCAAGACCGATACAGTTATCACGCTGCCAAACATCCAATAGGAAGTTGCCCAGTTTGCATTTTGACACCACCCCACAAGAAACAACTCGGTAAAAAGAGGTCGGAATGTCATACGTCGTGTTGACACGACCTTAAAGCCGATGTTTGAGGGAACACAACGCTTAACCCCCCCTGTCTCCCCTGTTCCGCCTAGTTCCCTCATCGGACCCCCAGTGGCCATGGCAAAAAAAACACAGGGCTCTCCGGGCCTTTGGTGTATGAGTGGTGTTGAAGGAAAACAGGTGCACCACGTCTGGGAAGCTCCGGCGAGTGAAAAAAACATGTACATTCCCACTTCCCAGGCTTCCCGACTGATGATCCGCCCGCGCCGCGGGATCTCGGAAGCAAGGGGCTCGACTCAGAAACCCGTTTTGCTTCCCAAACCTTGGTCTCACCCGAGAAGTGAACAGAGCCAAACACTCAAACACATGCCAAGAACAGTGTGAAGCTATGGACACTGGGGTCCGTGGATGGACAGAATCCAGGTCGATGGAAGTTGATCGATGACATGCTCTAAATACTGGGTCAAAAACCAACCACTGTATTTCTTCCGTTGGAGTTTGAGATGTTGAGAAATCAAACAGGGCCTCCCACCAAATGGGGCACCGTTGCAGGTTTGGATAACATGAGCCAAATAATATGATGTGTGTTCCTACGACAGAGTACGTTGGTTTCAAGTATCCAAGTATCCCGCAACCCCATTCTATCTATCAAGGCCTTTAAGACTTCCCTTGTTGGGGATGTTAAACATCGCCTTTGGGCAAAACTGTGCGTGTTCCATTTTGGTGGGGTGATGGTTCGAAGCATCAATGAAGGACTGCCCAAATGAGCCCGTCAAACCACCTACATGACCAAGGCGTGGTTCTGCGCAGTCCTGGCTTATGGATGAACCACTGGGTAATTAGAATAACCTTTTACACGGCTAAAATCAGAACGAACCCCTGAAAAAACGGAACCTCGATGGGCAGATCGCACAGCAAAAGGCTCCTTTGTGAGGTGCCTATAATTTGGCATAAGTGGTGGTCTGGTGTAATCCCCAGAAAAGGACGTTCTTCCCACAGACCTTCAGGCAAATTATAACGGTATTGCAGTCATGCCTTCTAAGTCGCAATCAAGCCCTGGTAGTAAGTGGTCCACCCAAATTCATGGAAATTATGAAAGAATCAAGAGAGCGGGCGCACCTGTTCATGGCTACTTTGCGGCTCGTATGGGTTGTAACAGTTGTATCCCATTCCGAGGTTGGAGTCACCCAAAAGAAGCGGGTGCTTTGAATTGGAGAGGGGAGAGCCTGACCTCTCAAGCAAACTCGCTTGGATCAAAAGGCGTCCAAAACCGGGGTGTCCCAGGGTGTCATCATTTGCAGAGACTCGACAGGCCTAATGCAAGGAACGCAGGTAAGCAAAGGAAAACAAACACAACAAGTTTAGATGTTCCCAGTTGATTTCTGGCGTTGTTTTTCCGGAGCATTCGGTGGGTTCTGAGGACTTGTCTCACTAGTTGGCTAGTTTGCTTGCTAGCTAGCAGGTAAAGTAGTGAGTTTGTTTGTGCAACATGCGCAACACAAAGACGCACAACACAAAGAGGCAACCTCTTGATTCGATCGGTCCGCACCTCCTCCTCCTCTTCCTGCGACTCGGCTCTCTATGCTATAGAACAAGAAGGCGCCTGCCCTCTGAGGGTTGGAACCAAGAGAATTCCACACCCTGATTGACACCATGTTAAAAGGAACTTCACCCCAATGTGTGCATGTGTACCTGTGCGTTTTGAAAGGCCCTCTGACCCAAACGGGTTGTACAAGAGGTGGAACCTCTTTGTGGGCAAGAACTGTTTAAGAAAGCACCCACAAAGGGAAAAGGGTGCCACTGAACAACTGGAAAAGACCGGTGGGTACTATGTCACCAACAAGCGTGGAAGTGAACAAAGGGCTTGGGCACTTTCCTCATCATCTTAAGACCACTGTTGGAAACAGAGTTGTCTTCATGCCTTTCAGGATGCAAAATGGTTGCACGCCCACTTTGAAGCACATATCACAAACACACTCTCAACATCTTTCTTAAAATGTGTGGTTTCTTTTCGAGCCAGGTTTCTGTTTTGAATGCTGAAAAAGGACGGCAAAGCTCCTCCTCCGAGCGGCAGCCGAAGTAGCCCCGGTCCTGGTCTGCTTTGATTCAGAGCGAGGGGAGCCACAGGAAGGTGACTCACCTCCGTTTGCTTAAGCCCCCTGGACAAATAAAAATATCGCCAGTAGTGATAGATTCCCTTTAAAATCAACAGGGGACAATAACACCTATTCCTTTCAGCAAATGGAAGCTCATGACCCGTTTTTTGGGGCCGCAATCGAGTCACTAGGCGGTGGCTCTTGTTGTGGCTCTAAATCATAGGAAATGCCACCGTCAGACGAGCCGGGCCATGTCGAAGGTGCCTGTAACCTGTGCTCAACCTATGGGCAGGGCTGGGCCAACCTCTTGTTTCAGCATGGTTTCTCTTCAAAGGCGACAAATCAGTGGCTACGAATGGAGAAAAAACCGGGATGGCAAGTGGTGGGAACCCCGGATGAAACCCATCCTACATCCTACGAATAGGGGGGACATGAATCCAGGGTATACGGGTTGTACCAGGCCTATCGAGAGCCCCTCTCCCACAAGCATCCTTAGGGCTTCTGTGCTTCTGGAAGAACGCGGCAATCGTCCACCCTTCTGTGTTCACACTGTGTTTTCTGGGCTGCCCTCAGACCCGCGGCTAAAAGTTTAACTTTAGTGGGTTAAATGGAAACTAAAAGGCTAAAGGGTCAGCCACCAAGTTTTGATCCGGCTCCAGGCTAGGGAGGACCCTGAGAAAATGGAAGCACATATAGGACCATTAAACAAAAAAACAAGGTTTTTTTGCCGCAACGGACATGAAGCATGTAGCGTGTCCCCGGGATTAAAAGAAGAAACAAAAGGTCAAAACACACACATCTTCTTTCAGCAAACGGAAGTAAGCGTATTCTGTTCCAAGCTTGAGCCAGATGTCCGGGCCCCGGACAGCCATGTAGGCAATCTGAGAGCAGTCGGTGAGTCAGGTTTTTGGAGCTTCTTTGGACATGCCATGATGGGGGGGGAGGCTCAGCCCGGCTTTCGTTTCCAAGCTCGGGTTCTTTGCTTGTTCGTTGGATTGTTATTTTTGTTTTCTGCCCAAGGGCTTCGGGCAATCTGTAGTCATCTTGTCCCATATAATCTTGGATCCCCCGCAGTGGGTATTGAGTGTCGGTGTCCTTCTAAATGGGACACCCCCCCCATTCATCAACCAAAGGCTTCTACTAGTGGGTCGCGATTAGACACCTCCCAGCCCGGACGCACGGTGTGACTAGGGCCGATGTTGGATCTGTCTTTTTCTCGGGACCTTGATTAGACTTGGTGGTTTGTTGACCCTCTGCTAAAGAATGATTTTTAGAAACGGACCTACCAGCACTGTTGAGCTTGCTTGCTTGCTTTCTTGCTTGCTGGCAGTGGAACAATCCCAATCCAGTGGTAAACAAGTCCTCAAACTATATAGCACCCGTTTCAAAACAGGACCCCAAGAAAGGTGGGCTGCCTTTTGGTGTCCCTTGATAACTTAATACCAACCAACCCAAAAAGGATATCCAAAACAAGTCCTGCCGCGGCACTTGAGCAGCGCCCACACCCATGGACGTTTGGCTCTACGTGCTTATGAAGGTTTACTTGGGCCTTAACCCAAATAAAACTGGCTGGTAGAAGCAACTAACAGTGGCCAGGTTTGGGTGAAAGGTCAAACTCGGCTCTGTCAGAAGGCAGGGCATTGCAAACCCCTTCATCTGGATGGCAACTCTAGCCATTGCGAATGTCCGCGCAGTTCGCTGGGAGGGCACCAGTACAGAACCACAGCTACCTCTAGGTCTCTTGTATGGTTCCCCCTATTGTCTGGATCCACTGGGTTACACAGGCAAAACAAACGAGTGGCAATTACTATTACTTGGAGTTTTTGAGGGGCACGCCAGGAATGGTAAGGTCTCCGTTTGGTTTCCATTCCAAAAGTCTGCCTTTTGGTTGAAAGGGATAACCAGAAGCCGGGCGGGTTGAAAGGTCGAGAGCAGAGAAGAGTTGGTGTCCTTGGCGTTCATTCAGCCCTGAACCCAGGTCTATCTCACCACCTAGCACGGAAAATAAAGACATTGGACAAAGTCAGACCCGTTTTCCTCTTAAGGAACCCCTGCGGCAGGTTCCAGTTTTGCGGGTGGGAGGGCATGTTCCTGCCATCATCTGCAAGCGAAGATGTCTCAGATTTTACCAGCGGTTGACACCCAATTCGCGCCTTGTGGCAAGGCGACTGTCAAGCAATTCACCAGCCCAAAGAGTTGGTTGACCACAATGCAAAGGCCGAGCTTGCCCCCCCCCCCCCGCCCAACAAAACAAGCGAAAGCCCAAACCCCAAACACGCCCCACCGTTGAGGCCTCATTTAACAGGCCTTGTTCTGCATCAATTTTGCTCACCTAACACCTGGGAGATCTTTGCCAGGCCCCGCTGCTTCGCTTCCCGTCTGAGTGTGCAGCTAGGATAAGCATCCAGAAGAAGATGAAGGTCAGGACCCCTGCCAATCAAATGGTCCGACAGCGAACGCCCAAGTACTGAGAACCATGAATGCGATTTTCCAACAAAAAGTCTAAGGTATGTATTTACTACTAAAATGGTGTTCCGAAAATGTATGAAGTCCAGACTCAGAAAGTGACAATTTGTATATCATTGGAGATGTGGATTTGGCTCTCCACCCAAACCTTCGCAAGTGGCTGCAATATCCGTGCAGGAAGTTGGAACCTCGACTATAGGTTGCTGTTGAAACGGTGACGAAACCAGCGGGAGCAAACCAAAATGGAGTTTATCGGTTTGCTTCCATTGTCAAAACGCGATTTCGGCTGGAAGTGAAGCATCCTCAAAATAGGTTCGTATATCCGTCTCTATCAACCAGCTCGTTCACGAATGTCCTGCAAACTGTCTGGCAAAATTGTCTTTGGACTTCAGTGATCGATTCCCGTGGGTCACCTATTGGAGTGCACTCACATGGGTTCTCACTTCCGATGTGAGCAAAACAAGCCTAAGCTTTCTCTTTACGACTAAAATGGTCCTTAAGCGCAAAAGGACAAAGTCCCGGCACTCAGTTTGATCTTCGGCCAACGGGTTTACAGCCAACGGCTGAGCATATTATATATGTAGATATACACGTGCAATCATCACTCTATCCATGACATGAAGGTAAGTAAGGGTAATGTTGAAGCCAGCTCATGTAAGTATCTATTCATGTATGTCTTTGCCATAAACTGTCTGTCTGTTTTAAACTTGTATGTTCGCTTTCGTAGCTGTATTTCCTTGACACTGAATGGGGAACACACTCCGCCATTGGGACCGCCGGTTGACCGGGGCACACGACAGCCCTCAGTTACCATTTCCCAACATGGATGGCTTCCACTTGGTGTTAACACCATCTGGGCAAATGATGTATAATTCACAAGCCAAAAGAAACAAGTCCATAAAAGAACCCTTATGGATGCTGTCGCAACCTCAGTGATATTATCGCCCAAAAACCATCCCCCATACAATACTCACCCCTTCGTAAAACACCCAGACGGGCTCTCAAAAACCAGCAAACATGTCTGCCCTCTTGTTTGGACTTTAAACCGACCCTCTATGGTCCCCCAAAACATGGCTTGATTCATGCCCTTTTCACCAGCACCCTAAACATAAGGCACCCCCCAAAGCAGTTGGCTTCATTTTCGGCTCTTAAACAACCTCCTCCAACTAGAAGGCCCCTCACCCTCCAAGCACAAAACAGCAACACTCACCAACTCGATGCCCGGCTTCTTGTTTCTTTCCTGAAGTCGGGTCCCGTTCGTGACGGGCGCGGGGAGTTCCAAGCGCGCACCTTCCCAGATCTCCACGATGTGGGGGCTGGTGACCTCAGGCGTTCTGAGGTTTGGAGGTTTGGCGCCCGGTTTGGAGGTGTGGAGCCACCCCACCCCACTCGCGGAAGCTCGCGCATCCTGTGCGGGTTTCCTTTGGAGGAACTGGTGGTGCTTGGACACCTCCGATCAGAAGATTTCCCAGTTGGATTGTTCCAAGACAGCCATCCATTGCCTGATCATTTGCTCTCTGCAAGACAGTCAATGTCAAGCACGGCTTGCTGCACGTATCCCCAGCACAAAGAAACTAACTGGTGCTTGGACACCTCTAATTTGCGATCCGTTTGCTTGTTGCTGATGGCACATAGCCAATCCCTTCTCATTTGCCCATGCCAAAAGCAGCCAGCCGGTTGCAGGAACCTGAACCAGGGTTTCGCGCCCTGGGACTTGTCGGGTCACAAAACCCGGCCTGTTCGAACATCCCCGCCCCGGCTCGTTGAGGCGGGCGCCAGAAGGATGAAAAGCAGCCACACGTACGCCTCGTTTGCGGGAAGGACGTGGTGGCGTTCACTCCTTTTGCTGGGTGTTGAAGGAAACCCTATCAAACACCTCCTTCGGTCTCTCAAGAGAAAGCAAAGTATAAATCATACGTTTGAGGGGTCCTGCTCGGATTTACCTGGAAGCTCAAGATTGACCCGCTCTGTTTTGAAGCTTCTCTGCTCTACAGAAATTGCAACATTGATGATGTGGGCGTTCAAATAAATTGGGGACCCTTTGGTGGACATGATTTAGGTGGGGATTTGTGTCCGCCAACCGCTTCTGAATGGTCAAAATATCATCCTGGTTGGAAAGCTGGAGCGGGCACGTGCCTGGACATGAGTCCGTCCCGCAGGAAAATCTCCCAAAACCTGGGCTTCCTGTTGGCGTCCTTTGAATCTGAGCAGTGCCTTCAAATGAGCAGTCTATAAGAAAAAAGGGCCACCAAAATCTCCGAGAAATAAAGGTTGACATTTTGGGACGTTTGATAAAAGTGGATCAAAAGGGAAACCAACAGGTGAAAACGTCGATTTGCTTTGGGCCGAGAAATACGTGGATCCTTGTTGCCTTCCTGGGAGGGCCAAAAGGAATAGGGATGTCTTTGTTGAATGCAGCCGCTTCGAGTAGACTGCAAACGCTTGAGATCCATTCTTCGACTCTGAGCACTGTTTGCCCAACAACGTTTTACACATTCTCCGACCTCGTGCTCCCTGTTCTGTTCAAAACAAACAAAACAAACAAACAAACAAACAAACAAACAAACAAACAAACAAACAAACAAACAAGACACAAAACACAAAAAAATAAAGAAAACACATAAACCAAACCAAAGACGACACACATATCAAGCAAACAACCAAACAAGCAAATGAATAAACAAACAACCAAAAAATCAACCAACTAACCAATCAACCAACCAATCAACCAAAACAAACAAACCACGTCACACCAAAACAAGTCATTCAACCAATCCATCAAACCAACCAACCATTCAATCATGCAGTCAATTAGTCAATCAGTCAACAAACAAATCAAATCAACCAATCAATCCAATCAATCCAATCAATCCAATCAATCCAATCAATCCAATCAATCCGATCGATCGATCGATCGATCGATCAATCGATCAATCGATCGATCAATCAATCAATCAATCAATCAATCAATCAATCAATCAAGCAAGCAAGCAATCAAATCAACTAATCAACCAATCAATCAATCACTCAATCAATCAGTCAATCAATCAATCAGTCAATCAAATCAGTCAAATCAATCAATCAATCAATCAATCAATCAATCAATCAATCAATCAATCAATCAATCAATCAATCAATCAATCAAATCAATCAATCAATCAATCAATCAATCAATCAATCAATCAATCAATCAATCAATCAATCCAAGCAATCCAATCAAGCCAATCAATCCAATCAATCCAATCAATCCACTCCAATCAATTAATCAATCATTCCATCAATCAATCAATCAATCAACCAATCAACCAGCCAACCAACCAACCATCCAACCAACAATTCATTCACTCATTCATTCAATCAAATCAACAAACAATCAGTCAATTCAAATCAAGTCAATTCAATTCAATTCACATCATATCAATCAAAGGACATGAAATGAACTCAATGAACCAATCAAACAAGAGTAAGTCAGAAACTCAACCAACCAACCAGCTAACCAACCAACCCCCCCACCCACCCACCAACCAACCAATCAAACAGTGAATCAAGAAATCAATAAATGAATCAAACAGCAAATAAATCAATCAATCGGTCAATTCGATCAACCAATTATTCATGACAATAATTATATAAACCAATCAATCAAACAAGCAAACAAAGACAAGTAAACACAAACAACACAAAGCAAACACGCAAAGCAACATCGAACCAATCAACCAACCAACCAACCCAGCGGCCAACCCACCATCCAACCAACCAGCCAACTAACCAGCAAACCAGCCAAAGGTGCGAACGAACGAACAAACAAACAAACAGCACCAAAAACACACACACAACACGCAACAGTAAACGCGCGCAAGGCAAGCAAGCAAGCAAGCAAGCAAGCAAGCAAGCAAGCAAGCAAGCAAGCAAGCAAGCAAGCAAGCAAGCAAGCAAGCAAGCAAGCAAGCAAGCAAGCAAGCAAGCAAGCAAGCAAGCAAGCAAGCAAGCAAGCAAGCAAGTTGTCATGTGTTGTTGGTTCCTTGACTGGCACAAGCCTGTCTAATCTGTTGAAACATCAAAGAAAAACAAGAACCCACCATTGTCAACAAATGCTCATGCTTCAGCCCAAAAGCCATATGCCGTTTTTGAGGGTGCCGGTTTCAGAGCGTTTTGTTTGAAGGAAAACAACAAGGAATGCTCTTTTTAAGGCTACCAGGATTACACAATGAATAAGTATAGTTGACTCAACAGCTCACATTCGGTCAGATCTGTGGAAATAGTTTTGCGTGATATTACTGCTGGATTCCCGAAGACATTCATCATGGGTGGGCCCGGTGTATCCCCAATCAGCTCGCTAGAAATGGGTATGCGTCAAAAACCCGTTTGGTCCAGTCCATCTGCTCGCTTCGAGAAATGCACCAAGCCCGAGCGACTGCCGGGATCCACTTGTGCCTGTTGTAAGGCCTTACGGTTTGCTTGGGCAACCGTCCAAACAAGCCTTAGGGGCTGTATAGGGGATGGACGGGTGCTTGGATTTCCAAGCAAACATGGAAGTGCACACTGCACAGACCGTTTTTGAAAGGTTCTCCCCTTGGAAAGGGAGTCGGTGCACTTTCATGTTAAGCGTTCCAGGGGCCAAGCTTTGTGCAACATCGCCGGTCTGGTTTGCATTCGAGTAGCGAAGATGGAGAAGCAGGTGGTGACGACAAACACGGGCACCTCCTTGATCTTGCGTACCTCGGGGTCTGAGTTTGCAGGTCCCAAAGCACTAGCCCCCGATTTTGCAGTGGCCATGGGACAAACTGGCAAAGCAATAACACAACCTAAAATGGCGGTGATGGCCACAATAATACCTTATCCGAAGTGAATTTGCGATAGCTATAAAATCGCTTCTTTGCCGGGGGAGTCGATCTTAAAGGGACGCCCTCTGCAATAAAAGGGTGAAACAGGGCACCGCTGAAACTCTGGGAACTCCCCAATCCACGAGGCCAAACCAGCAACCGAGGCTTATCTGACTTTAGACTTGCCATTCCAAAGAACAACGGACCCATGGGTCCCTTTTCGAAGACCTTGGGGGGCACAGATAGCGAATGTGTTGAATGCGTACTACTTCGGTCCTGAGATGTCAAGCTGTCAACAAAAAATATTCGTTGTTCTCCAAGCTGACATGAACAACAGTGGCTGTGGAAACTTGGGGTAGGCTGCCATGCTCTGCTAAAACCAAGAGTATATTTTTTGAGCCACAGCCAGATCAGCAAAGAGAAGTAGACTACCAATATAAACTCCCTTACTCCATGCAGATGTTCAAGCCGATCACCTGAGAGATAAATCATGAATCCTCGTGCCGTATGAGCTGATAAGGTAGATCTCCCACATGGGGGTGTCTGTGCCTAAAAGAAGCCCACAACTAGCTTCTCAACAATTTAGGGACCGATTCCTCCACAGCCTGCTGCTTCTGCCACCAGCAGAAGGATTCCATGGATTCCATGTCAGCCACACGTGGCCATGTGCTTCCTCCATAGGTGTCCTGTTGAAAAAATAGATGGCTATGCCTGGCAAATGGAATCAAACCCATCCAAACCAGCGCCTTCTATTTTTCACCATACCATAAAAAAGGGACACCTATGGGCCTAACGCGCCTCCGTCATCCTATGCGAGCGCGTGCTCTCGGTTCGTCCGGCCGCGAACTAGCGAACCCCTCCCAACCCCGCCGCTTCGGATCAGATGATCCCGATGGATTTTGTGGCCTCGAGACACAAACAATTCTCAAGGGCCATGAATCAGGCCAAGGGGTCGTCTTCCAATGTCTTCCATTGGAAGCCCCATGCCCCAAGCGACTGGCTCAAGCAGCTGAACGGCGGTGTGTTAGCCCATGGGCAGGCTCGTTGACTTTCTGTTGGCTTCCTTTTTCCTGAAGATTCCAAAAACGGAGCTCAACTCGACGCTCCGCGTTGGTTTCCTTGCGATTCTGATTGACATTATCTTCCGTTCACGTCGAAAGATCGAACCAAAAATCGGCCACCAATTCTGCCCCAATTCTGCCCCCAGTCGCTGAATTGTTCGGCTTGCGGACTCCCGCCTCCCCTGCAGGGATGGCGCAAATGCACACCGCGATGATGCAAAGGAGGTTGAAGGCCGCGCTCCCTGTCCAAGTCTGAGGCGTGCTAAACTTCCGTTGGTTTTTCGTCCGGAGACTTTAAAACCAGTGGTAGATTCCAGTAGTGATAGATTTCCACCAGTGATAGCTTCCCTTTAAGACCAACATGGGGCGAACAGTTTAAGCGAATGGAAGTAAACACATCGTATGAGCTTGAATCGGTCCGCGCCTTTAGGTTGCTCACGAGTTCACCAACCACTTTCAGGCGGTTATTCGTGAAACTGATGGTCAACTTAGAGTTTAAAGGGAAACCCAGGAGAAACCATCCTGAAACCAGGCGTTCCCCAATTTTGGGAACCCCTCCCCTTGGGGGTTCTGGAACTAGATTCCTCATGAGAAAGGAGAGCAACTTCGAGCGGTGGCTTGGAGGTGAGAAATGGGAAGTGCCTTCCATTTGAACAGACGCAAGAGAAGCCATGGGTTCAAGTCCCCGAACCACAAATCCACACCACAAATTAAGGGGCCAAACAGAACTTTAACTGACACATTTCATTATATTTCCTCTCGCCAAATAGAGAAAGATACACCTAGAGTTGCCACTAAAGTGACAACTTATTGACTTGACGGAGCAAAAAGAAAGCTATCAATCCTGCGCCAACCGTGCCCACATACAACTCCCTTCTCCACCACGTGCTCGTACACCAACCATCAGGGGCAAAGCGACATACACAGTGACCATGGCAGAGCACAACACATACCTCCCAAAAAAAGGAAACACATGCCAATGGGGGAAAGTAAAAAGAGCCAGAGGACAGAAACCAAACATGGAATCCTGATTACCAGGCCTATATGTCCCCTTTTGGCCATGAATTTCACTGTTGGCCACCAAAGGGTCCCCTATTAGAACAAACACCCTCACTTCTGCCGCAAGCAAAGTCCGAACTTGCCGCTTCCCACTAACCTCTCAAGCTCAGACTTGTTGGGTGGCTTCTCTTTAACCCACCATGTATAGGCTTATATTGAGGACGTACCTTCCAAAGAGAGGCTCTGTAGAAAGTCCAACGCCTTGGGAAACAACGGACACATGTGAGGACCCCTGATAGAGATGCAAATGCACAGAAAGCAGCTGCCTCAAAAGGGGGCTGTCCTGAAATCAGAGGCCCGTGTTGGTCTCCCTCTCAAAGGGCAGCACCAATGCCCCTTTGCAAGGCACCACGTGTTTGACACCTCCTCAAACATGTCCCCGGCGCTTTCGTCTCAAACTTGTCGCGCCTACGATGGTGGAGGGCCCAAGCTCGCCGCTGTACATGCCATTCCCAATGAGCTCGATGATACCTCGACTGCGCCGAAACGGGTTTAGGGTAAAGGTTCATAATGTAGGGGGGCTGATTAATAAAGGGCACCTTTCCCCCCCAAACAATGGGCAGGGTCTGGGGGGTGAGAACTTTGGGGGCAAATTTGTGGGCAACCTAGCAGTATAACTTTGAGTCATCGAAAGGCATGCAATTTCGCCTTCATGCGAGAAAAAGCTTGCGGCTGCTGGATCTACTGAGCCACAAGGCTCATTCTGAGTAAAACTGAGCGCTTTGACCTGTTCTTTTAGATGCGACAACCAGTGACCCACAGAGTCAACTGATCTTCAGCTGCTATCAGCCCACGTAATTGGATCTTGATGCAGGTGATGTATCCTTGCAACAGCTTGACTGGTTCCTCGAAGAAATCGAAACTCCACCAAACAAGAAGCGTAATTATGGTGACAGCTAAAGCTGCTATAGATTAGGCGTCTACCTAGGCTTGCTTCCGATTTGGTTTGACTGAGTCCCCTTGCCATCGCATCAGCCAATAGCATGCTTGAGGCCCCGCACGCGATTGGCCTTTTGGTGCCTTTGTGGTTGCAGTCTAGTTTAGCCAAGGAAAAATATTGGTTGGCGAGTGTTCCAAGTAAAATAAGTTTTGTAGGTAACGCGCTCTTTTCAGACCGCAGTGGTTTTTGATCATGTCACCAGTTGAAACAGCACACTGCAGGATACACGTGTCATTTTGTGCCTGTTGTGTTTTGTTGGTGGGCATGTTCGAGATGTCAATCCATGGGTCCAGCAAGAGCATTTTCGTTGGCTATCATGACTTTCCGTTTGAGCATCATGATTTCGACATTTGCAGATTCTGGCTTGGATGAGGCGGCTTTCAGGAGCGGCTGTGCTTTCATTGTGACAAATTATCTTGTTGCGATTGAATTGTGAGCTGTGCAGCTGCGAAGAGTTGAGACTGTGAATTTTGGTCAGTAATGTCCAATGGGGATTAGTAAAGCGAGGTCCCCCCCCAACGATGGGGGTACCTAGAATAGTATCTTGAGATCCAGTTCAAGTGAAGTTCCATTTGATTTAGTATTGGTAGACTTGAGTTTCCATTTGATTTAGTATTGCTGGAGCTGCCTTTTGAGATTTGGAACTGAGTTTCCATTTGATTTAGTATTGCTGGAGCTTCTTTTTGAGATTTGGAACTGAGTTTCCATTTGATGTAGAATTGGTAGACTTGAGTTTCCATTTGATTTAGTATTGGTAGACTTGAGTTTCCATTTGATTTAGTATTGCTGGAGCTTCCTTTTGAGATTTGGAACTGAGTTTGCATTTGATTTAGTATTGGTAGACTTGAGTTTCCATTTGATTTATTATCGCTGGAGCTTCCGTTTGAGATTTGGAACTGAGTTTCCATTTGATTTAGTATAGTTGGAGCGTCCTTTTATTTTTCTAGGGGGCCACGCAACAAGACTTTATTTCGGGGGCCCCTGAAATAATGTCAAGTTGGGGGCTGAAGCACTACCCCCTTTTTGGGTTTGATTGTGGGCAGGTTTTAAACAAGAGACATGTAAGAAAACATGGGTTTGGTAAAGCTGACAATTTGGGAACTAAGGAACAAGGTACCAAAGATCCAAGGACCAGGTGTTGGCTTGGCTATCTCTCCTCTCTCTTCTCTCTTTCTGTCCGTTTTTTTTTGGCGCGGGTGGCGGGTATTTGTCTTTATTCCAGGTGCATTTACAAATCCTGTTGGGCCCCCATTTGTCCTTATTAAATGGGATTATGCGTGGCCAGCTTGCTGGGTCTTTCACTATGTGATCCTTTGAGTGCTCTTGTGCTCGACCTGGTTTTGATTCAGGACAGGTGGCCAATTTGTTGTGTGCTGGAAAGCTACCAAGGGGCGTTTGAGAGGCCTTTCATGGCGGGGCTTAACTCGGCGGGGTTAGGCTTCTCTGCATTTGTTTGGCGGTTGTTTGAACTGATGGTGCTGCTCGAACCATATCTATGGCCCCCTTGCTCGGGAATCTCCGACTGATTTCGCGAGTTCCAAAGAAATCATTCATCCAAATCGTAGCCTACAAACACAAACGGACGGTCTGAGCCACACGCACCCGAAGCCATACTCCAGATAGTTTCCACTACCCGCAAACCACTGCTCCAAGAAGTTTGACGGGATACACAGCAACTACAATGGCACTAGATACAGGCTATATGTGTATTATGTTATATTATAATGTATTTATTTATCCCACGTCACTGAGGGTACTGGTTTGGGGGTGCGGACACTTAAAGCCATATGCCCCATCGAGCGTTTGTTGACAACACCATTCGAGGAATCGACTTGTGAAAAGCCCCATGGGAAACAGCCAGCGAAAGCTTGCGGAAAAGAAACACCTCATGAACATTTTGTTTTCGCTCTTTTTTCTGCACAGGCAATGTTTTACCACAGTGGCATGTTTTTAGGTTGTTGGTGCTGAAAAACAATTCTATGTGTGGGCCAGTCACTCCACACTTGCCATACCCTCCATGGACACGAAGTGTGTCACCCAATTCAGGAATCGCGTCCGAACCGGTCTTGCAGTTGGTGTGGATGGATACTACAACCACCACGGTGTACCTAAGGGGTTTTGGGTCACTGCAACGTTCTGCTAATGGGAATCAGTTGAACCCCAGGGTAGGAACCGAACCACCTAACTGGGCCAGACTTAGACATCCTGCAAAAAGTGAAGCACCTTGCTGGTTGACTGAAAAAAAACATGAAACTTAAAAAAAAGGCAGACAACATTGAACAGGTCAGGGATCCGTGTCGTGTTTTCCACGGGTCAACGGTTCATCTATGCTTGGGTTCCCGGGCTCAAAAGGATCTCCGGCGCAGAGCTGCCGAGAGCCATCAGCGTGAGGTTGGCCACCTAAGTGTACGTTTTCTACGGGACAGAAACTTCGGCCGGGAAACCAAAGGAACTCCTCCACCATTTGGGGGTAGACATTTGACATTTTGTCTGGTTGCAAGTTGGACGAAAAACGGTTTGGTGCACAACCCTCCTGTCCAAAGGAACCTGGGAAAAGCAGAATCCCTTGTTGGGTTTGATTGGGGGGTGTCCCCTTGAGGGGATTCAGACCACTTTTGGAGGGAACATCCCCTATCAACATCAACAGGAGGGGTTCTACTTATATAGATCCAGGGTCTCCTGCGAACACAAAGCTTACGTCCAAAACGGGACCCTAGCCATGCTCATTTTTCCACGAGTACCCTGAACACAAGCACACCCATTGCCAGACTTGACTGGCCTTTTAATCAGGGCTCCTTAAAAGATACATTTTGCCCATTTGAAACATGGCTTTTCCCACCAAAATAAAGGGACCCCACCATTGGCAAGGCAATGTTCAGGTGTATAATGCAAGGATCCCTGTATTTAATCGGTTTGCCTTTTGGCCCTTTGGGTTTTTCGCCGTTTTCGCCGGCCTGGAATTCGAGAATCCCGAATGACTTCCAAACCGACCTGAGGCCGCCGCGGTGGCGTTCCACACCTTGACTCTCACCTCAACTGTCCCGTGCCCCGAAACGGTCTGCGCCGATTTTCTGGGCTGCCCTCAGATGCCCCGCGAAAAGTGACTGACTTTTAGTGGGTTAAATGGAAACTACCACTAAACACCAAACAGATCAAAGGCTAAGGGGATGGCTGGAAGCCACCAAGTTTTGGGGCTACCCATCCCACTCACAGAAGGCACCCGTGGGGAGGTACCCTGAAGATGAATCTTCTCTTGAACCATTGAAGGGACCCCCTGTCGGTGCCATGGCAACGTGGGAGGGAGAGTACGAGGCAACAACAAGAAGGGCATGTCCTACCCTGCTTTAAAAACCCTGCTTTACTTAAACATAATAAGAAGGGCCTTCCGCGGCCTAGAAGGGTCACCCTGAATTTGTTGCTGGTGTGCCAACCCTAGGTGTGCGTTTCGAAACATAGATGCATTCTCTGGTAGATGATTAGAACCAAACTGAAACCAATGCTGCTGTATCTATGTACAGCAAGACCTTGAAGGGACACCTAGATCCAGGCAAGCCCCTATTAGGTAAAACTCTGTGCCGCCTCAATCCACCACATATTGGGAGTGACTAAACGAAAGTCCCCAAACAGTTGGAGTTGTTTCGGCCTGTGACCTCAATTGTACTTATATAGTTGAGCGTCAGTCTTATGTCCAGGCCACTGCTGCCCATGTTCCTACAAAGGGTACCATGTTGACCCTTGATTGACAACCCCCCGACAAATCAGGCATAGGTTGCTCCAAAGACCCAGGGCTATACAACATTGGTCCAAAAAGGGGAAAACACACGCACACACAGCGCCCAACACCTATTGACCGTTGATTCACCATTATACCGATTTCCATAGGGAACTGCTATAACCCTTATTCAGCCAGGCAGGAGGACCACTAAACAATATGGCCCTTGCAGGGTTTGGGGCATAATTGGCTTACCCTTGCGCTCTAATCTTTTCCAGGGGCCACTGTGCGCTTCCATCTTTGTGGCGAGAAAAGTACCCCCAGGTCTTTAAAGGGATTTGCGAGTGGCATCTTGATGCCAGTTGAGAAAAGGGGCATGGTATGGGAATACAGAAGTGGCATACCTCCATACCTCCAACACCTAGACCTCAGAAAGTGCCTTGGGTGGTAACCTTTTGGGGGTGGCGTTGAAGGGAAACCACAAGGAAATCATGGCACTTTTTCGGGGGTTCCATATACTATTTTGCGACAAACACATTATTTGTTATATTGTTTGGTGCAACCCCGCCCTCAGTCTGGGTATAGGGTGGGGCAGCTGCAACAAAGTGTCCTGAAAACTGACAAAGCCATACTCCCCTACAAATTAACGGAAAGAACTATATGCCGCCGCTGCCGGCTAAGGCAATCACAGACTTAGAACTGCAAAGAACCGCACCTCAAGCACTGAGTCAGGAGACAAGGAAAGCAATAACTCCCTACAGTTTCACATGGAACCGCTGAAACTCACCCTTTTAGAGGCTCAGAGGAATCTCCTCTTGCGCGACCCCCCTTTTGGGTTACCCTTACCCTTGACAACAGGAACCACCCGATCCCCTGCACCCTATCCCACTATCCACTTCTTTTGCGGCATCAACTCCCTGACAAAAACAAAAGTATTTGCAATGGACAAAGGGGTATGCTTGGAAACTTTCATTTGGCGATCCTCTTTGGGTCGCCAAGCTGAAGTGTCGGATCCCTTCTCATCCCTGCCTCAAACTTCGGGTTCCAGTCACGTTGAATGCATGCTAATGGCAATGCGGGCTAGCCTGATGATGTGCTTGGCTACTGGAGATGCGGTTCACCCCTGGGAAAGCATGTGCAAAGCACGACAAATCAAATGCGGCAAGACCACACCAAACTCAGATGGACGGCTTGATCCCAAGGGCACATGTTTTGACAAGCCAGCCAGATTCTGAATTTATACGAACCCCGTCCAAAATGAATGAAGGGTTTCTCAAACCAGTCAAATAGTTGTTTCCTAAATGGTTGGGTGCCTTTTGGTCCCGCTTTACGTTGGTTACCTTCTAGTCCCCTTTTACGGGATCCGCCAGTTTGGTTGGGAACTACGGGCGAGTCCGTCGCTCGCTTTGGCGCCCGGCAAAATCTCCGGTCGATGGGTTCATCTTCTTCGCCGTTTTGGACTCAGCGACGGGACGTTGCTCGACTCTCCCTACAAAAATGTTGAGGTGTTGGTTCAAAGAGAAACAGAATCAGCCCCACGAGAGGTTGCTCAAGTTTGCCAATGTCTGTTCAGTGAAAACCGCGCCGCTGTTGTAGATGTTGGGGAAGTTCAAAATAGGGGCCTAGAAAAGATCAGGACAAGGACAACAAGGATTTCATTTGGCCATGGGCCCCATTGCGATACAGGCAGTCAAGCTCGTCAAGGGTTGCTTCACATGCCTCTCTTCTCGGCCACATGATTTCACATGGGCTTCCTAGGAGTCAGGCATGATAAAAGCAGATAAAAGCCACAGTGGGCCATTAGACCGGTCAATATCTGTGCCCCAAAAGGAAACATGGGCGAGCACCCTCGTTTTGGTGGTGGCATGTGAGCTGCGCGGTGCCCGGCAATATTATAGACTACCAGTATTTCTGTGTCGGAAGAGCATGTCAGAATAGGACCAGCGATTCCAGATATCACAACGGTATATCAGCTATCCTCTACTCTTTATGCTTATTCTTCTGGCTACTCTCACAAGTAAGGGAGTCATCAAGACCAACTTCCTCAGTGGCTTGGGCTTTCAGTCCGTTTCATCCCGCTACTTTGCGTGCCTTGTACCGCTGGTCACATGTAGCCATGGTTTACCCTGCGGCAAGGGTAAGGGCAAAAGGCATGCTTCTTACCAAACATCGCGTTCATATCAGGGACCCCACAACTTGCAAGGATCCCTCCCCAAACTTGTAAAACCTCATCTTAGGCCAGCTTCTTAAGCCCCCCCCACCCCTTGGGGTGGTCCCTCAGTCAACGCTGAGCCCTCGACCGTGATCTCTTCGATGGAGTTCATAAAGATGTCGGAGACCTCAACAAGTTCTGGTCGCGGCGCGCGGAGGTCATAAAAGTGACTAACTTGTAGTGGGCTCAATGGAAATCACGACACTTTGGACAAACAAAACAGACATCTCAAAAAGTGGATTAGGCTCAATGGAAACCACCACAACACACAAAAAGGCCAAGAAAGGCTAAGGAACCGGATGGCTGGGAGCCACCAAGTTTCGGCAGGCTTGGAGTTTCGCCGTGCAACACCAAACCAGTGGGTCATCAGTTATTTCAGGGGCAGCCCTGTATCTTTGGAATTGCACCTGGGAAAGCCACTTCTTTGGGCACGTTATCAGCTCCACCTGAAGTACGTCCTGTACTTGGGGATCCCTGCTGCAGGTCCGTTGGACAGGGGATGCAGCCCCAAAAGCGCTCCATAAAAACCCGGATCGGCGAATCACAAGGAAATCTTTGACCAGGTGGTGCATGGTTTTCTCACTCCCCGAGTTTCTGGATTAAACAACTTTTGGGTTTGGACCATTTTAGTAATAAACAAAAAAGTTTAGACTTGTTTTCCGGGCAATCCACATCCGAAGTGAGTTTTCTCCATTTACCTATCGGGGTAAGTTCATCCACTGGGAGGCACGTCTTAGCCACTGAGCTGCCCTTTGGTTTGACATCAGGGTTCCTACCCCAGGGCTTCCCAGTTACTTGTATAGTGGGTAACTGGGCTTCAGCGACAGATTTGGCGGAACTAGGGCCGGTTACCTGTTTTTTAGGTAACCAGCGTAGGGGGGCGAATTGGTTCCTTTTTGAGAGTTGATATGCTGCCGCCTGAGCTTGCGCGCGGGTGGGCGTAGCGTTGCTGAGGGTTGATTTACGGTAGGTGCTGGGCGAATTTAGGGCTGATTTACGAAACCCTTTTTGGTTTTGGACGACATTGAGTTCAAGATTGGCTTAGGATGTGTTCAATTTGAGTTTGGGCTCGCGTGGGACAGGTTGAGATCTGAGATTGCTTTAATCCGGGTTTTGCTTGACCTTTCCCGCTTCGCCTTTTCCCCGTGTTCCAGGGGATTTTGCCAGTGGCAAACTTCAGACCATTTGAATGCTAGAAATTCGCGTTGTCGGGCAACCAGAAATAATAGTCTGCTTGAAGCCACCATGCATCAGGGAAGGGAACAGCAGTCAGCGGTCGCTGTCCAGTCTTTGTTCCGATTGCGCACTATTGCTAAAATCACATTAGCGGGGTCCATTACATTCGGAAATCCAAATGGCGCATAGCATAAACTTAGCCCTCTTCTGCTTCAAAACTAAGACACACACACACAGAGCATTGTTCCGTGGAGTTTGGAAAGACGGCGCCGCAACTAGAGTGAGTTGTGTCAGCGCATATCCCTTAAATGTTTCAGTCCCAAAACCTACAACTTCTACAGCAGCCATAGCTGTTTAATGCCGCTTCTCACAACAACATTCAGTTATTTGCATAGCAAGTTTATATTTGGAGGCAGCCAGCGTAAATGTATGTAGACATGTTACTCACCGAAGCAAAACAGAGAACCACACCTGCCTACAGTACCTGCCGCAGACAAACAACACAACAAATCAGATGCGCACACAAACACACGCCCAAAAAAGCCCGACCATACTTGCATTGCGTAGCAAATGAGAAGCAAACCAAGCGGCTAAAGACCCATCATAACCACACTCATGCCTCACACACCAACAAAACACGCACACGCTTCATCGCCTGCTAGAACCACACACCACGAACCAAAGGATACTCAAACGTTCCAATTGGCCACAATCAAGCACCACACAATACATGATGAACATACCTGCCAACAAGCAGCCACTCACCATACAAGTCAGAAACACACGCGATCAAACGCGCCAACTGAGTACCTGCCACAATCACATTTCACACAACAAAACATAATCACACCCGCCAACTGAACACCGACCACATTCACACATCACACAAATAAACCATCAGCACTACAGCCAGCGACCACGCAACAAAGACAAACCCATTCCCCAGGTGAACGCTCGCCAAACTAACGAGCCAGACAGCAAACTCAAAATGCACGGCCACCAGCTCAAGACCCGCCATACTCGCGTACCTAGAGCAAATTAGAAGCCACACTGAAACACCACAGTAACAGTATACATATTAAAGTCGCCCTCTGAATAAACCCATAATTTCACACATGTGATGAACACACCCGCTAACAAAGCGGCCGTCGCAGTGAGCACCACGCGACAAAGTAGAACAACTCGCGCCAACTGAGCACCCTGCACACTTGCATAGCACACAACAAACGATAAGCGTGCCAGCCACCTCAGGCGCCGAGCAACGGATGAACTGAGCACGCGCCAACACGCATCCGTCGCAGTCATACACCGCGAAACCAAATGATAACCACACCCGCCAACAAAGCACTCGCCTCAGTCACACACCGCATCAACACATAACAAACAAACACGCCAGCCGAAAGCCAGCCATACTCACACCGCGCAACAAATGACAAGGTTAAACACCTGCCACCTTTGCACACCACGTCACAAACGACACGCCCACGCCCCAACTGAGCACCCGCTAGAGTCACTCACCAGGCAAGCAAGGGCACTGGCACCACCCAACTGAGCGCCAGCTACAGCCAAAAACGAAAAAACACACTTGCCAACTAGGCACCGGCCATGCGCATGAAACCACACAGCAAATTACAAGCACTCGGGCCAACTGAGCAGCCGCCATACCAATACACCGCACAACAAATGAGCAACGCGCCAGCGACAAACGCTGTGGCAAGTGCTGGGGCAGGAAAACCTGCCAGCGCAAGAAGGGCGAATCCGGAACTGTTAAAATAAGGAGCCTGGAACCGTTAAAAAGCGCGCTGGAACCGTTAGGTAGGGGCCCGGAACCGATAGAAAAAGGCCGGAACCGTTAGAGACATTTCGGAGCAGCGAGCTGGCTACGCCCAACAAAAAAGCCGTCTACCAGCCAGAAATCATACACATGTTGATGTTTCCAGGTAAATTCCAAGGCGCAATTGCAACAGCCTAAGGTTATTCAGCTGAGTTCGTAATTTGGGCTACAACAACCATTGTGCCCACAATCCTGCGCAGGGTTGAGGTTTGACGTTTGAGGGGAAGTTCTGGCTCGTGTTTTGAGACGATCGGTTTTCAATTTCATTCGGGTTCGGCGTTGACCTGACTATTTGGGGGAGGGGATCAGAGCTTCAGGCGCATGTTGTGTGGTGGGTTAGCTTGCTGGGGGTTCAGTTAGCGGGCGCAGCGCTTATTTGCTGCTAGATTCACACTGGATTCACCCCAAATTTCCATTGTGCTGGAAAAAATGACGGAACACATTGTTTTCCGCATGAAAGTCATGGAGCACGCGGTTTTTCACCAAATTTGGGTCCGATTTTCCCTCTAACGGTTCCGGTCCCTACCTAACGGTTCCACCCCCTTTTTTAACGGTTCCACCCCCCTATTTAACGGTTCCGGGCCCTTTTTAACGGTTCCAGTTTCGCTTCTTGCGCTGGCAGGTTTTCCTGCCCCAGCACTTGCCACAGCGTTTTTCGCCGGCGTGCGTTGCTCATTTGTTGTGCGGTGTATTGGTGTGGCGGCTGCTCAGTTGGCCGGAGCGCTTGTAGTTTGCTGTGTGGTTCATGCGCATGGCCGGTGCCTAGTTGGCAAGTGTGTTTTTTTTCATTTTTGGCTGTAGCTGGCGCTCAGTTGGGTGGTGCCAGTGCCCTTGCTTGCCTGGTGAGTGACTCTAGCGGGTGCTCAGTTGGAGCGTGGACGTCTCGTTTGTGACACCGTGTGAGTATGGCTGGCGTTTGGTGAGCGTGTTTGTTTGTTCTGTGTTAATGCTGTGTGTGACTGAGGCGAGTGCTCTGTTGGCAGGTGTGCTTACCATTTTTTGCACGGTGTGTGACTGTGGCGGATGCGCGTTGGCGCGTGTTCAGTTCATCCTTTGCGCTGTGCCTTTGGTGGCTGGCCCGCTCATTATTTTGTTGTGTGCTATGTAGGTGTGCAGGGTGCTCACTTGGCGTGTGTTCCTACTTTGTCACGCAATGTGTGACTGCGGCGGGCGCTTTGTGAGCGGGTGTGTTCATCACTTGTGTGAAATAATGGGCTCGTCCAAAGGGAGTGTTTGAACATGAATTATGTGGTGTTTGAGTGCGGAAGGTTGTGTGCGCTTTTATTCGCTGTAGGCACGCGACTGTGGCGGGTCTTCAGTTGGTGGCCGTGCATTTTGAGTTCGCTGCGTGGTTCGTTAGTTTGGCGGGTGTTCAGCTGGCGGATGGGTTGTTTGTTTGTTGTGTGGTAGCTGGCTGTGGGCGTTTGGTTGGCCCGGGTGCTGATGGTTTATTTGTGCGATGAGTGAATGTGATCCGTGTTCAGTTGGCGGGTGTGAGTATATATTTTGTTGTGTGGTATGTGATGTTGGGTACTCAGTTGGTGCGTGTGTTTCTGACTTGTTGTGTGGTAAGTGGCTGCTCGTTGACAGGTATGCTCATCATCTATTGTGTGGTGCTTGATTGTGGCCAATTGGAGAGTTTGAGTATGCTTTGTCGCGTGGTGTGTGATTCTGGCGGGTGATGAAAGGTTTGCGTGGTTTGTTGGTGTGTGATGCGTGAGTGTGATTATGATGTGTGTTTAGCTGATTGGTCTGCTTCTCATTTGCTACGCAATGTGCAAGTATGGGCAGGCTTCTTTTGGCGTGTGTGCGCATGTGATTTGTTGCGTGTTGTGTGACTCTGGCAGGTGTTCTGTAGGCAGTTGTGGTTATTATATGTTTTGCCGAGTCACTTCGATGAGTAACCTGTCTATGTGCATTTACGTGTGTTGCCTCCGAATATAAAACTGTTGCTCCCAAAACGTGTGTTGCCTCCGAATATAAAACGGTTGCTCCGAAATAAAACATTGTTTTTGACAAACAATATATTGACATCTACTTTGAGAAGGGACATTAAACAGCTATGGTTGCTAAAGATGTTGTAGGGTTTTGGGATTTTGTTTTAGCACCCTGGGATGTGCTGTGCACAGCTCACCATAGTCGGAAACACCCACGGAATGATGCTGTGCGTGTCTTGGTTTGACGCAGAAGAGGGTTCAAAACATTCTATGTGCGATAACCCACATGATGCGACTCAGCAAATCACGACACGTTTAGGACATGGCTCACCTAATCACAGCTCAAAAGGCGCCTACCCCTATATTTACGCGACCTACTTCCATGCAAACACGCTCCAGTTGGTAACTTTGCTGTGCACAAAACGGATAGACCACCACTTATGCCAAGAGATATTGCTTTGTGGCAGCGAGCCTCCATGTGCAAACGCCAAAATACCGATGTGACTTTTTCTCCTGATATTCATGGCTGGTATTGAGACAACAATTGTATAATTCACCCACGTGGGCAAGACTCAAGTCTCCTGGAGCGCTTGTTGATGACAGGATGTCCGACCACACATGTTGCTTATAGTGTCCCACAATATGCAAGCAAGGATGACGGTGCAAGCTTGCATGAAGGATGCTGGGACGCGCTGTGAAGTGTAATGAGTGTATGATGTGTTTATGTGTGAGGCGTTTGGCGGGGTTCAATGCCCTTGAATACAACAGCTATTGTCAGCGCGTAGCCCTTTCGACAGTACTCCACCTGGGAAGTGCCTAGCATACTGAAGCAGGGCGTTTGCTGATAAAATTAAACTGAGGTCGCAGCGCAAATGCTACAAAGCGCTCTTTACTGATTTCTGCAGTCCTGCAATCGTGGACGAACGTTTGCTTTGTGCGTGGGTGACATTTGGAACGTGTCCGTTGGCACCAATAATGGTATGTTAGCAAATGTTGCTAGCATGTTGGTGCAGCCACCACATAAAGGAAGCTACTCAACATGCAAGATAGTTTTCAATCAGAAGTGGATATGGCAGGAAGAAAATTCGTAACACAATCCCCCCCCCCCCAGCATACAAAGGGCAGATATGCACCACGAACAGCTTGTTAACAGGCATTACCTGGCACGCCAGCAGGCTTCATGGTAAAACTAATGCGAGGTTTCTATTCCGGATCCGCTGACCCCCCAAACCTGTTTTGCATTGAACACAATGTCACATGGCACAATCGGGATCCAGACATGATTTGATTGCTGTGTGTCCCAAACACAATTCTATGAACTTAGTGAAAAGATTCTCCTCATTGATTGCATGTATTGCTTTCAGCACCAAAATCCTGTTGAAGGCTCTGAATGCACCACTCGCACAGCCCGGCAACGCAAAATATACTGTTTTGGGTATGTTTCAAGTCTGTTTGGCCCGGTTCCTGGAACCAAGTTCTATGACCCTGCTATAGCGGGAACCAAGCTGGTTCCTGACATATAAGTTACCGGAAGCCCTGGGTACAATAGATTTGTCGATTCGGAGCAAACGGTTCTGATCGTTTCATCCAGAGCGAATCCTACTTGCCCATCCATGGAAACCAAAAACGTGGCCCTTGTGCTTGGTTTCTGTTTTCGGGAACCTCACCCAACCAAAAGTATTTCCCCATGAACTGTGTGAGCCATGGATGTATTTGTTGTATTTGTTGAGGGCTCTGTGTGCAGGTTGTGTCTACTCCCAGATGTCCCGGATCAAACGCGGTCTGGTCCAGCTTGCCTGCCTTGGACTGGGTTGTGGGGAAGACAACTCAAGGAAAACAGGTTTTGTGTTCGGGGCCCCTATTGTAGGGAACTCCAAAAACTTTAAGTCTCAGCCAAATGCACAATAGCTTCAGAAAATGTTGCTTCACATCCTACAACTCATCTGATTCAAATTTGAGGAATTCGAGGACCATCATGGGTGAGATCGCTTTGAGGCTGGCTATCATTCGTGCAAAGTGATTGGTCCCTTTGACCAAATCCGGAACCAGCCCTTCTCTCAAGATGCGCCACCAGAAGCAACTTCCACCCCGCCCTGCACGGAGTGCACATCCTCTCCACGATGAGTCTTGGCCAAGTCGATGGTTGAATACCACAAAACGACTTCAGCTCGAGTTCCGGGCAACCCAAACCACGTCTGCAAGCGGGATAGAGGGTCGATCGTCCCCTGAATCCACGGGCCCGCCACGTTGTCGGCACGCTGACACCCTGCCACCATGTGGGCATGGAACGCTGACACCCCGTCCCTCAAGATGATGCAATGACGCGCACGAAGACCTCGCTGTGTGCTCTCCTGCAAATGAGCTTAAGGCGGACAAACTCTGCACGTACTGCCTCTCTGTCGGGGAATGCACAGCTTCGACGTCATTCACTTGGATCGTTTTTGGGACCGTCTCAAGATGCCCTGACCGTACTCATTCACCCTCCCATCAACAAACGGAAGTCAGTGCACAACCTTTGAACGGCCACTCTGTTGGTGAAAGGGAAGCGTAAGCTTGAACTACCTCAGCGTGGGCCCCGAAATCTGTAAACATAAGGACCTGGGTCAGATTTGAGTCGCTGCATGGTGGCTTGACCCGAGCTTTGTTGAAATAGGATGAAAGGGTTGAGGGGTTCCAGAGCAAAACAAACCAAACCAAATGAAACCAAAGCAGCAAACAAACAACGGATGAAAAAAGCAAGCAAAGCACAAACCAACAAATAACCAAACCAACAAGTAAGCAAACAAACACATGCCAAGGAACACCCCCCACTTTGACAATCAACTTTTGGCATCTATCCAAAACCTCAAACAGCCCTGACATAAGAAATCCCCAAGGAAAGGAGCTACATCATAGCGAGCTGGTGTTACCACCAGCTAAGCTCGCCATACAGTAGGCAGTCTGAGGGCGCCGGCTACGCCGATGCCACAGAAGAGGTAGCCAAGGCCCATCAAGTAGAGGACAATGCGCAACGCCCTGCGGATCGGACATGTCAAGGAACACTCGCTATGCACTCCTGCAGCTAAACATGAGCCCTCCAAACAAGGTTGCTTTGGGGAGTCCATGTTGATACATATAAATAAGTGAATGATTAAATAAATAAATCAATAAATAAATAACTAACAACATAAATAGATCAACAAATCGACAAATCAACAAAGCAATACATCAATAAATCAATAATATATATATATATATATATCGTAAATGTTCAGGAAACAACGCTTTACACTTAGGAAAACGTGGATGGCACCAATCCCCCAGTTGTTGTTGGTTGTCCTTTCACAAGGAAACTCAACTGTCTTGAAGGAAACTCACTTGAGCGGCGCCCGAAAGCCATTGACGATTGGGTTTACCATCATGTTTAGAAAGGAACATACAACCTATACTAGATCCACTGTAAGAAAAGGCAGTGACCAATGCAGCGGGGGGGCTCACTTTAGCCTGGCGAGACTTCGACATCCTGCAATCAGTCTTAAGCTTTGCTGCTTAAGCGGGAAATGAAGGACACCCAAGAGGGAAAAGGGCAAATTTGCTTCAAGGCCCCAAGAGTTGATGGAACTCCCCCCGTAGATGGCCTGTCATTGTCAAGGGCCCTTTTTCGTTTGAAGAGGGAAGCTGAAGCCAGAGGCCAGGCCAGGCCAGGGGAAAAAGGCACCGACCCTGGCACAAAGACCCTTGAAAGATCCGAGTCTGCGCCCCTGAACGGCTGGCTCGGATTTACCGAAGCTCGCCACTGGCGAGTTCACCACAGCCGCAATGAATTCTTCAAAGACCCAATGGTCGTTTAATTCAGCATCCCCCACGTGGTTGAGAGGCTTCACTGGTCCCGATTTCCTGTTGGTCCAAACTGCATGTTTAGCAGATCGAAGTCTTTCCGTGCTCTCCAGCCGCTCGAAGCCAAGAAAAGCGCAGACAGGCAAGCCATAGTAGGTATGGGTGTGTCTTTTCTAAAAGATCCCAAACAAGAAGGTGTTCCTTTTGGTTCCCTTTTCACACCATCCGAAAAGGGTACCCTCAACAAAAACAAACTTGGAGGGGGGGCGGGAAAAATATGTTCATGGTTGTTTGTTTAGATATCAATATCTTTGCCCCCTTTCCGATTTCATATTTGTCTGCGGGGGATAGCCATCGTAAGTAATCAAGAGATGGGTATGTCTTTTCTTCGGACCCCCCCCCCCCCAAAAAAAAAAGGTGGTGTTGTGTTGGTTTCCCTGCAAAGCCAACCGAAAGCGGGCTGCTCCCCCAAAAAGACAGGCACCCAATCTAGGCCCGCTGCATCGATGGGATCCACAGGGCTGATGCTGTCAATGAAGCAATGCTTTGCTTGGGGTCCCAGCAAGGTGGGTCGTTTCTTCGGGGACCCCCCCCCAAAAAAAAACAACAAACAACTGCGAAAGTGTTCCTCCCCCTATGATTTTTTGTGTGAGTTGTCCTTTTGGTTCCCTTGGCCTCTCTGAAAAGCCCACCACAAGCGGGTTCCCAAAGACAAATTCAGGTCTTCAAATGCGGGAACCGCTGCTTGGATGCCGGGCGGGTCCCAGCTGTACTCATCCTCGAAGAGAGGGAAAATGACGCCAGAACCTCAGAGGTTGCAAGCGCGCTACCTTCCAACTTGGTGTTGGGTCCCTTCAAGTGGCATCTGGGGATCTGGGGTTCTAAAAACAAATCCCGGGAGTGGTTTCCCTTTGAACCTCCATTTTAATTACTCTTGAAGATGTCACTTTCACAGACCCAGTGTGATATTTTTAAGTTGGCCCCAACAGCTATGGGATCAGTTCACCAATCCTAGGTTGGGGTGGCTCTGGGGTGGGCTACTGGAGAGTTCCAGACAGGCTCCAAGGAGCTTCCGTGGCTGCTGGGGATACCCTGCTGCCCGTTTTCTGGCACGTTACACGTCTCCAATCTTACGAAACATCGACCCAGCTTTGTGGTCTAAAAGAAACATGGTGAAACTCACATGTTTTCCTCTTTTATCCGGGCCGTTGAGGTAGGCAGCCATGATCTGCTGAGATGGCCCTTCGGTGTGCTCTTCGGTGTGCCCTTCGGGGCGAAAGGCGGGGATTCTCGTGTTTGGATTCAGCTCCACTCATAGGGGAACACTCAGATGGCTGACCTCTTGTGCCACCCACCACTGTTTCAAGCCCCTTCCCCCTTCCAAGGAAGGCATTGTTATGAGACAGTTGTTATAGGGGCCAAATGATGAGACACATTTTCCGCCCATGATCATGAGATCAACCCATTTTAATAAATAGGATATGGAATCCCAGTGAAAGGTGAATATCCCTGTAAACCAAGCCCCCTCAAAACTAGAGAACGATTGGCCCGAAAGCATGTTTCCCCAGGTGCTCATCCCTTTTTACATCGCTGCGGCGAGCGTGTCTGCACGCGGCGATGCTCAATGTGTATGGTCACATGAGAGTCCATCTCATCGTCCTACGAGAGGAAACATGGCAGTGCTCGATCCCACATATTTACATCCGTTAAAACAAGAAGAGTAAAGCTCGTAAAGCTCGAAACGAATTACAAGCAAAAGGAAAAGCAATCAATAGCAAAGCTTACACGACGGCCAGTTTCTGCAAAGCACGCTCGCGCAACTTAGCTCTGTGCAAGATGGCTCTGCGCAGCTTGGCTCTGTACAAGTTGGCTCTACGCAAGCTACTTTCGCGAGTGGCTCTGCGCAACTGGCTCTGTGCAAGTTGGCTCTGCACGAGTCTGCTCGGCGCAATGTGCTTTGCGCGAACTGCGCCGCGCGATTTCTCACGAAAGTGGTCTGCGCAAGCTGCATTGTTCCAGGCTGCTGCGCGCAAGTTGCTCTCTGCAAGCTGCTGCACGCAAGTGCTCTGTGCAAGTTGCTCTGCGCACGTGCTCTGAGCAAGTTGCTCTGCGCAAGTGCTCTGCGCCAGTTGCTCCGTGCAAGCGCTTTGCGCATGTGCTCTGTGCAAGTTGGTCTGTGCAAGTTGCTCTGCGCAAGTGCTTTGTTCAAGTGCTCTGTGCAAGTTGCTCTGCGCAAGTTGCTCTGCGAAAGTGACTCTGCGCAAGTTGCTCTGCGCAAGTGCTGCCGGAGCTGTGGGAATGTACTTCGCGTACTATTTGTGTACTTTAAAGTTGCGATTTTCCAGCCGGAGCTGCGGCACTGTGCTCCGCGTACAACGTTTGTACTTAAAAGTTGCGATTTTCCAGCCGGAGCTGCGGCAATGTGCTCCGCGTACAACGTTTGTACTTTAAAAGTTGCGATTTTCCAGCCGGAGCTGCGGCAGTGTGCTCCACGTACAACGTTTGTACTTAAAAGTTGCGATTTTCCAGCCGGAGCTGCGGCAGCACGCTCCGCACACTACGTCTGTACTTAAAAGTTGCGATAGCTGAGGGGAGAAATCGAACCCGCGACTGCGAGATTGCGAAAGCAGGCGTGCAAACCATGAGACAACTTCAAGGCCATTTCGTGAGCGACAAAATCGCACGGCGCCACAGCGAGAGCGCTTCGACACGCACGATCTGCGTTCGCCGAGACTAAGAAGAATTCGCACGGCGCCACAGCGATCGACACGCACGATCCCCGCAGAGGGTCGCGCGCGCACCGACAAAAACGCAAAAACAACTCGAGTTTTTGCACCTCATCCACGCCGATCCCCGCAGAGGGTCGCGCGCGCACCGACAAAAACGCAAAACAACCTCGAGTTTTTGCACCTCATCCACGCCGATCCCCGCAGAGGGTCGCGCGCGCACCGACAAAAACGCAAAAAAACCTCGAGTTTTTGCACCTCATCCACGCCGATCCCCGCAGAGGGTTGCATTCCCGATCGCCGGCAACATCCCCACCCCCCGCCAAGAAAGAGATTCTTAATACCGAGCTCTTTCTCTTTCTTTCCGCGCGTTAAGTACTTAACCTAACTTTCTTAACCTAACTTACACAGCTGCTAACGCCGAGCCTCTACACCTAGCTTAGCTTAGCTCTATGCACCTTGCTCTATGCACTTGGCTCTATGCACCTGGCTCGATGCACTTCGCTCTTTGCACTTGGCTCTGTGCACTTGGCTCTGTGCACTTGGCTCCTTGCACCTCGCTCTTTGCACTTCGCTCTGAGCACTTGGCTCTATGCGCTTGGCTCTTTGCACTTGGCTCTGCGCAAGTAACTCTATGCTGGTGACTCCATGCTGGTGACTCTGTTCGGGAAAAATCACATCGCGATCACTTGCACGAGTACAAGGAAAACCAACCCTCACGAAACCACAAGTACTCTCGGGGGGGGCACTGGTCAATAATATCTTTTGGAAAACTGAGGGTATTGATCAATAACAAAAGCAAGGCTGTAATCAGGGGAATGTGAGTGTGATGTTAAAATTAATCCAGGGCCCTTTGGTCGATGTCATTTAGGTGGAGATTTGGTTCCTTATGATAATTCATAGACATTCAATATGAGTGTGCCTTTTGTTGAGGGTAACTTTCAAAGGCAACCATGTGTTCATGTGTTCTCTTTTTGTGTTTTTTCTTTTGGCTGGGGGTGTGCGTGTCCCTTAAAGACACACTTCTATGTTCAGCCAAACTGACCTCATCACCTGTGCCTCGAGACTCCGGGGCCGGCGCCTCCTTGCTTGCATATTGGCACCTGGCATCGATGCCATTGCCAAGTGGCAGACTTCTCATTTGCCAAGGGCCGTGTGGGACACACAATTCGACATGAACTTGAGTCGCACGTTGCGCCGATCAGTGCAGGAAAGCTGGGAATAACGGGTTCAGCTTTTGGAAAGGAAAACCGAAAACACTGGACATGCCGCCATGATTTGCCAAAGGGCCAGACAAGGGAAAACCAAACATGTACCTTAAAAGGTCGATTCACTTGTGGCAAGTGAGGCGAGAGCTAGCAACCACCCGAATGGAGCGGTCCCTGGTTAATGAGTCCCCGCGGTGTTTGCAGTTGAACTCCTTAAGCTAAGGTGCTCTAAAGACATAACATGGTTTCTCCAGTCATGTTCATTTCCACTTAAACCGGCAAAGCAAACTCGACAAGCATCTTGTGCAAATGGAGGACCAACTTGATCCTAGCTACTCACATGGGTGAGAAGTCTACTGTGGACATGTTTTGGGTTGGGATTCCTGTCCACCATCAAATTAGGAAGATACTCCTCATTACATCTCAGATGCCCAGTGGATGTCCATGGCGAAAAAGGATCGGCATCCTTTCTTGGTTGACTTTAAAGCAATCGGACCCCGAAACCCAAAACAAAGTCGAAAGCAGTTGGCACCACGTAGCCATAAAGGGCTAGTTGGATCACGAGCAATATCACTCCAACCTCAACGAAGGATTCCGTGACGTTGTCCATCGAATCGCCTCGGAATTCTCGGAATATTGGCGCCAGTCCATAGGAACCCCCAAAGAGAAAAGTTCCACCAAGAAGTTTTCTCCAATCATGTTGTTTTGGGGCTTCACTGGCCAGGTTGACTAAAACCCCGGAGTTCCCCTTTTGGCGGAAGCTACCACTGGGTTTTAGACTATACCTTGAGATAGTCAAAATTGGAACTGTGCCCGCCCTCAAAAAGAACGTGTGAAACATGGCGATTGTCAAAGGGCCCCACGGAAATCGGTGGTTTGCCCTTGAGTTTCGTCTGCCAGCCAGACAAGGGCACCTTCTCAAAGTAAGACAAACCCAGCGGAGAATAGCGAGCGGTAGCAATGCAGCAGACAATCCGATGGCGTCAAAGTGGCCCGTTGACCTCTTTGCATATGGCATGGGATCGTTTGTGATCATTTCCCTAACTGGGCAATGGTCTGCTTTGATCATGGTTGCTTCCTAATGAACACTTCCTAAAAGAAATGGCCTGCTTGAAGAAAAAAAACACCGCCCCCTTGAGCTGATCCCTTTGAAAGGGGCTGGGGGGGGGACGGATCTGACTCCTTCCAAGTTCACTTGAGTCACAATCAAAAGCCGGTATCAAAATGGTCTACCCAGAAACATGTACAGAATTAAGAAGGCGGCCGCAGCTAATTGTGGTTGGGATTGTCCCTTCAAGGTGCAGCACTTTCCGGAGCGATGCTTGTCGCACAGTGCCCAGGAACATGAGAGATATTCTTGGGAACAAAAAGCGAGGACTCTGCTTCCCTGACACTTGTAGCGTTGTAGTAGGTCGCAGATCAGTCTTCGTAAAATGCCAGCCGCAGCAAGTCGAAAATGTCAATTGGAGTTGGGTGGTTGACAGGTCTCTTGCATTGGAAGATATTGTGGAGGGGCGTTAAAAAAAGAAGAAGACTTGTATCTTCCAATGTGCAGCGTCGGGTCCGCCCAGGTCACTAACCTTCATCTAGTTTTGATTGTGGCTCACTTGGTCAATCACGGATGCCAAAGCTAAGTCTGGCAATGATGATTGGTTTTCCGCAACACACACACACACGCACATTGTTTAATTGAATAAATACGAATCAAGTTTGATACCAAAAAAAACAAAATAGAAAAGAAACTCCTTCTAGGATGAAAAGCCCCCCCTCCCCACACAGCAAGGCTTCACTTCGAAGGGATCAAATTCTCGACCTTCAGCCACGCAGCACGCAGGCGGCACGAGTAGACGAGTCTACCGCATGCTCGAAAGGCCAAGCGAGCGCCAGCTTGGGCCGAGAGGAACTGCGGAGAGCACAGGTTGTCGTTTTCAAGGAAAACCAAAGGAAACCGCTTGTTTATTTGTTTGGTTTGGGGGGGATCCCAACATGAAAATGATCAACCCTCTTCGGCTGAAGCGCCGAAGATGACAAAAAGACCATCTCACCGTTTCGGCTGAATAGGCGACTTGATGAAAGCGGGGTTACTCCAAGCCCCCGAAGCAAAAGGTCAATGTCTTTGATGAAACACGCCAAAGGCCAAGCAAAGATGGCACATATCGGACAAATCCCCGATTCTTGCGGGTAAACAAACGGGAAGACTGAACCCAACAGCCGTCCTTTTTCGGGGCTAGCACACGTGGAGTACAAGGGTACACAATGTCTGGGTGAATTGTTCTGCACCAACCTCAGGATCCCAAGCAAGGAAGCGTCATGAGGCCGCGAAAGAACGCGGCAAGTGAACTTATGGCCAACTTGTGCGAAGTGGTGAATATCCCTATTCCTTACACATACATATACACATAATGTATCGCAGGCCGTGCCAGCCTACCTTCATCGCTTGCCTCTTGTGTTCGATCGGAACCAGCTGCTACACAAGCGCTAAGCCTGCTGAAAGCAAGCAGCAGTTTTGTAAATTTGAGGGTACTCTTTCAAGGCTTAACAAAACAACAAGAAGGACAACTACAATTTTGCGGGTTCAGCTATAACCCGAAAAGAAAGATGACTTTTGTTTTTTGCTTGGCATTCTTGGAAACCGCAATAGAGGCTGAAGATCGTGCAAAGCCTGGGTTCTTTACACGTTAGCTTGGTGGCCATTTGTTTCCATCAAGTCCTTTGGAGGCGATTTGGTCACACCAAAGACCAGCCATGAACCCGACTGTGGATGGACGAAATCCGTTCGCACCACTTTTGAAACCACGGTTGAACACATTGTTTGTTGGTATTTGCAGGGGAATCGTCATTCCAGGGTTTCTTAGGTGGGTTTCGCAACCATCCACACTATCCCTTGCCCAAATGACCCGCCCGTCTTCAGAAAAAGGGCTGGACCTCATTTCCGCCAAAGGCTTGGGAAGCCACAAGCAAAGGCCAAAACTTGCTTCGGCTCACTCGGGAATGAGACCTGGACTGACCCCGTGGTTTCCTTTACGGGGACCCCTCTCGACAACCCCTGGGTTCATTCCCTCATCTACTAAGCACAGGTTGACTCGCTGTGGACCGGGTGTCAACGACGACGACTCCAGCGACCGCTACTGCACTCCCAGCCTGGGCCCTGGGTTTGCCTGGGCAGTCCAGTTGCCTTGGGCCTATGCGCAAGCCTCAAGCAAGCAAAGCAGCAAGTTTCCCCTGGCAGGTATCACCGAACATGGCCCTAACCCCACTGGCATCTTCACAATGGCCCTCTACTTCTTCCTTTTGGGGAAAACTGGGCATGCGTACTTCAAGCGCCCATTCTCTCACAACTATGATTACCACGAAAACTCCTTGTGGAGCGCTTTCTGGACTTGCCTGCAAGCTTATTCCCCAGATGGGCAGCCTAGATGCCAGAAAGCCCTCCACAAGGAGTTCTCGTTCTACTCACTGTTGTTGGAGAAGGGTGATGGGCATTAAAAGCTAAATTTGCCGCGAAATCCAGTTCCTTTGCAGAAGACGTGCTGCAACTGACAAACAACAGGCAGTGGTACTGAGACCACTGGAAAGCAAACAAACAACGCGGCCCACCCAGCAATTGAGAACCGGCCACCTTGGATTGTGAAAGTCAACCAAAACGGCATGGTCTGCGATGTGCAAAATGAAGGCTCGGGCAATCATAATCCATTTTGGGACCACCACAAAGGAGACCAACAATCTTGGTAGCCTAAATCAAAAAGAAAGAAACGGGTCTTTGAGCAGACCGTTTGGTCCGATTCCTACTTTCGAAGCCACCCATTCTCTGAAGAATGTCCAAAACTTAGAACGTACCGTTCAGAAGCGCCGTCTATACCCGTTTCTGGTTTTCTCTCCGCCACCCGAAGGAGCAGAAGGAAAAGTCGCCGGTGTCCAAAAAAGCCACGTGTTCACAACTAGAGCCTTCCGATGGCCAGTGTGCCGTCTTTGCCGGGAGAACTTTTTTAATATGCCAGCAGAATGTCCAACTTTGGATGCATCCGGTTCCCTGGAAAGGCATCATTTCAGGGTCTCCATGGTGAAAAAAATGGCCCCTGATGTTCCAAGCTGACAGCCAGGATTTGCCCTGCCACTTCGGCCGAATCTTTCACCCGGGGTACTGTATCAGACTTACTCACTGGTGAGTTATTCGAGTGGAGACGAGTTGTGAACTGTGTTGGCCAGATCTAGTGGGACACCCTTGTGGATGTTGGCTTTTAAGGCAAGCCAAAGGGACACAAAAAAACCGTTTTGGGGATGGGCTGCTCTTCCCCCATGAACAAAGATCTAATCTGTTTAGGTTTAAGGTTCAAGGGGCTGAGGCCACACCAAAGACCAGCCATGAAGGGTTCCAAATCTCCCTGAAAGCGGAACACCTGAATTGCCCACCTGTAGTAGCCGCCGGCGCCGCCTCAGGCAATGCCATGGTAGCGGAACAAAGAAAACACCCAAATCGCTGGTTTCCTTCAGGTGTCCTTTGAACAAAGTATCATCAAAAAAGACCCACGTGCAAAAATTACCGTTTGACGCTGGACCACCAGGGCTTCGTCACACGTGTTCCAAACTCTCCTGGGGGCTTCCACAAGCGCCATCGGACACCCCGAAATCTGTTTCGGGAGTGGGAAACACATGAGCGCCCTTAGAACTTTCACCCAATGTGCCGAACCCCTCCCCACATGGGTTCCCCAAAGCAGGGTCCCCAAAATGGCTTGTCTGAAAGGATAAGCTGGGTTACATGCGGGGAGTACCAACTTGAGAAAACTGGTCTTGGGGATCCACTTTTCGGGCTCTATGGGAAGTGATTCCATAACCTTGGACAAAACCTTTTGGGTTGGGCAATGAACCACCCAAGGTGGCTACAATATGTCCATACATACAATCAAAGGAAGTTTTGTTAGAAAACTTCCGTAATACGAAAAGTGCAGTTCGCAAAGCACATGAACAACGCGAAGGGTACCTCTGTTTTGCGCACAGGTTCGCCACGGGTTCGTGCGCAGACAATTTCAGAGGTTCAAATTTCGTGGCAGTCGCAGCACTTTGGTAACCTGAAGTTCAGATTTCGTGGCAGGCGCAGTACTTTCGTAGCCGTGTAGATTTATTGGCACGTGCAGTACTTTCGCACTCTGGGGTACAGATTTGCTGGGAGGGGCAGCACTTTGGGAGTCTAGATGGATGGATAGATGGATAGATAGACAAATAGATATATAGGTAGTTTAAATTTTGTGGCAGGCGCAGTACTTTCGCAACCCGGGGTACAGATTTGCTGGCAGGGGCAGTACTTTCGCAGCCGTGCAGATTTACTGGCAGGCGCAGCATTTTCGCGCTCGGGGGTGCAAATTTGCTGGCAGGGGGCGATACTTTGGCACTTTCGCAGCTAGGGCTCTAAGATCGCAACTTTTAAATACGAAAGTAGCACAGCAGAAGAGAAAAGAGAACAGAAGAGAACAGAGAAGAGAAGAGAAGACACGAGAAGAAGACAAAAAGAAGAATAGAAAAAGAGAGAAGAGAAGAGAAGAAAAGGAAAGAGCAGATAAGATAATAAAACAAAAGATAATAACAAATAGAAGAGAGAATAAAGAAGAGAGAAGAGAAGACAAGAGAAGAGAAGAGAAGAGAAAAGAGAGAAGAGAAAAGAGAGACGAGAGAAGATAAAAGAGAGACGAGAGAAGATAGAAGGGAGAAGAGAGAAGAGAGAAGAGAAGAGAGAAGCGAAGACAAGAGAAGAAAAGAGAAGAATAGAAAAAGAGAGAAGAGAGGAGAAGAAAAGGAAAGAAAAGAGAAGAGAATAAAATAAGAGAGAAAGGAGAAGAGAGAAGAGACGAGAGGAAAGAAGAAGAAGGAAGGAACAAAAAAAACATAAGAAATAAGAAAGAAGAAAGAAGAAAGAGGAAAGAGGAAAGAGGAAAGAAGACGGAAGAAGGAAGAAGGAAGAAGGAAGAAAGAAGACAGAAGCAAGACAGAGGAAGAAAGAAGAAAAGAGAAGAGAAGAAAGAGACAATCAAGGAAAGGACCAAAAAAAGATATCCTATCGTCATATTTTTGTAGAAACTTCCGCCCCCGGCTTCGCAGGCTTTACTGGTCTGTACATTTACATATATATACCCATGTGCGTGGCCTTTTTGGATGGACTTCTGTTGGGCGGGTTTAAGGGACAAGCCAAATGAAACCAACCATTGTGGGGGTTCCCCTGTACACCCATACCCATTGAAACATTTAGCCCGGGTGTTACAGTTGGGGATCTGGAAAGATTGAAAACATGGGTCCCCCACCTTCCGCCAAATAACCACTCGCCCCATCTCGTAGTGTAGTCATAGCCAACCCTGGTTCAGTTTCTGTATTTCTTCAAAGTCTCATCTTAGCACATTTATCAGCAGTACCAGCACCCATTTCGCATTCCCTGCCTATCGCACCACCAATAATGTTTTGGAGACGCGTCGCTACTCGCCTTGGCCTTCGCCGCGGAAGCCTTCGCAGGCTTCTTGGGCTCTGCCTGGCTTCGAACAAGGGCGAAACTGGGGTGGACCCACGGGGGGACGTGGGTGGCGTGCTTGATGTACCCTTTTCGGGGTGGCTTCAAAGCGATAAAACAAAAAACCCATCCATGTTGGGGGTGTCTCATTTGACACAAACCCCATTTATGGTGTTTGTCTGTTTAACACAACCCTCGATTTTGTCATGTTTTCACGGCTGCATTGCTGTGTGGGCCCTTGATCCCCAAAACATGTTTGCTGTTCCAAGAAGGCACAGTGCTCGGCCGGACTCCCAACTTCACGGCGAGACGGTGATGACAGGCCCTATCCACCCTGTGGTTGAGAAACGAGGGGAAACATTGAGGCCAGGGGTCAAGGGTAACTCTTCTAGACCTGAATGGTACATGAGTTACTCGCCAAAAGAAGCTCACATGCCCTTGGCCCTTGCCTATGAAAAAAGACTCATACCAACAAATTTAGAAGTTGGCCCAACGAGGAAACAGGAAAGAGATCCGACCCAAACTATTGACTCTCGTGGCGTCCCTCGAAGCAATTTGTGTCTGTCTCCTGGGAAAAATATCAGCAATGTCCAGGGATGATAGATTCCCTAAAGGGACCCTTCCCGCTATGTCCCTTTGGCTCCTTTTTCGAAGTGCCCAGCTTTAAATCACACGGGTGTGTTGAACTTTGTACAATTCTGACTGGCTAACACCTCGATACCAGGCTGGACAAGTTGACACATTGGTGTTCGACGAATAGGTTGATCAGAAGGTCCTCTACATATGATTACCACTGGGAACAACCACTAAAACGATGATGTGTCCACCTAGGTGGGAAAAGTTGCATGGTCATTTGAGGGTCTTTGGGCCTTGAATATTCGGATACATTGGACAAACAAGAACGGCAGAACAAGCAAACAAGACCGCTCAACCCGCCACGGGGAAGGAAACACGCACCTTTTTCTTGCGCTTCAATTCAAGGTGCTCCGAACGGCAAGAAGAGAGCAGAACCCACAAAGAACTGGGATGGCTTGAAAGACATCGCTATGTGGTAACCTTGACTCAAGAGTTTGCAAGGGTTACTAGAGGCTCACTAAGAGGTTAACTGAGGGGCGGGGGTTCTACTACTCCCTTGGCTTAATTCGGATCAGATAACCATTAGTCGCGGTTGTTTCCAAGTTTGTGTGGCTCTCGCAAGTCCGTCGAAGGATGCTAAGTCTTTTTGTGGGTTCCTTAACAGCATCCAAGAGGAAGGACCGTCATTTTGAGAAACACGCATTTCGGAGGTCCTATGCCACAACCGTTCTTCGAATTCAGACCCCCAGCGTTCGCAAGGCCAGTCGTCGGCAATCGATCCGCAGGAACCCAATCTCTTTTGCCTTGACCCGATCAGCCGACGGTGACCTGCCGGGCAAGCGGCAGAATCTGCCATCGCTGTACCCTGCCTATCCATAATCTCCGATCCCTCTTGGACATGGGCAGAAACCCTTGCAAACACCCTGGAACAAGTGTGCGTGCGTGGATTCGGAAGAGAACAGGTCAACGAAATAACATTCCTGGAAATTGTTTCTTCATGCTTGGAAGACCACTACCGAAAGTCCGGTGATCGTGGGCATGAATGACGCCATGGTGTTGATGGTTTATTGCGAAGCGAGCCACACCCAACACAACAACAAAGGCTGCCATTTGGCAACTCGGCAACCTGATTCTCAATATCGGATTCCCTCAAGAAGACGTTGACCACATGACTTTCCGTGTCTATCTTCAAAAAACGGGGTCCAGGAAATAGAAGTACCCTGGTGCGAGCGAGCAAAGGCGTTACCCAGGAGGCGAATGACAGGTAGAAGATCATATGGCCGTGAATTGTATCAGCGAACCACCTCAATAGCGGTCCGTGGACATGAATCCCAACCTAAATCTGAAATTATGTCCATCAAAGGGATCCTTAGAAACAAAAACACCCATAGTCTCCAAGAAATGACTTGCGCACCCCTAGACCATACCTTTTTAGGGAAATGTAGGGAATCTCCGCACAACATGAACACCATCAACCTGATTTGGAAGGTCATTGGGGCTGCCCTTGACTGGAAAAGGGGTGCAAGAGTCAGCCCCATGACATGAGAAACAACCATTTCTACTGCCCTTCTAAAATAGCTCGGAGGCCAAAAACCACCCATGCATACATATATGTTTCTCTTTTGGGAAACCCTTTTGATTGAACAAGCAGTCACCGAAGCGCAAAGGGTGCCCACATGGACAAATCAGTGACTCCCACCTAGGTGCCTCCTATTTTTCCCTGGTCTACTGATATTTTGACCAAACCACATAATCAGCATGGAACGCCTCGATTGGCCGCCCTCCTGCTTGACGCTGACCTGAGCGAAACACCGGCAGCATCTGGAGGTGTCTGGTGTTTCAGGGTTCCCGATAAATCTCTCTAAACATCACCAAAGGACATTCGTTGTATAGCGGACAATGTGAACATTGAATACCGCACGTTTAGGGCACCCTGTGCTTTGCATTGGAAGTGGAGCCCCGCGAAATGTTTCAGAGACAAGGCCCCAGCTCCTCGTGTCTCCCTTAGGCTGGCTACAGTTGTTCAAGGCCCCCCCCTCCCCCCCATCTCGATAGGGCTGAGCCGTTGTGGCCAGCATCCATAGGAGTCCACCTGTTCCCTTTGTTTGGCTCTTCAAAACTCTTTCAGAGGTTCTAGGGTCCCATAGCAAATTTCACAAAATGAGTAAAGCTGCTTCAATTTTGTGTTCTTCTTCAGGTATAATGTTGACCAAACCACCTGTTGATACGGAACTGTTCCCTCCAAAAGTGGTCTAAATCCCAAAGGGATACACCCGATCAAAAGCAACCAGGGGTTCTGCGTTTCATCCGCATCCCCATTGAACATCACGCATGGTACATGTCAGGGCTATCTTCCCAATTCGGCTAGGTGCGCGGCCAGCCCATCTTCCTGGCGAGCATTCATACGACCATATGTATGTGTACAAAGATAACCAATATAAATATATATATATGGCGGTTGTCTGAAATTCCTTGTTCCGGAAACCGCCATCTTCGCGAGAAAAAAATAACTTTCGCGGACCCCATCGCGGAACTTTCGCGGGGCTGTTTTCAGAACATTCGTCACAAAAGTAGTACACGAAGTACACTTTCGCAGCCCCAGCTCGAAAGTCGCAGGTCTTCAGTGCGAAAGTAGTACTAACAGTAAACTTCAGCAGCCCGGCTTGAATACGAAAGTAGTACACGAACTAAACTTCCTCAGCCTCGAACGTCAAAACTTTTCAATACAAAAGTAATACACAAAGTGAACTTCCGCAGCCCTAGCTCGAAAGTCGCAAGCTTTCAGTTCCAAAGTAGCACGCGAAGCGCGCTGCCGCAGCTCCAGCTCATAAGCTGTGAGCTACGCACGAGAGGACCGTTGGCCTCATGTCCGGAACTGGCGGGGAGGGGTCCGTTGACTTTCGCGAAACTTTCGCGGATCTTACGCCAAACATTCGCGAAAATCCGGCTGGAAGTTGCGCTCAACTTGCCCCGATAGCTTCAAAACTCCCAGAAGCTGGTTTCTGCTGGCTGGGGGTTGCTTTTGCAGCGGCGTATTCTTGCGGCGACCCTCAGGCTGCGCATTCTCCGACCAACTTTAGTCTGTGGGCATTCTGCGCGCACTGCCGGTAAATACACATGGTTCATCACTCCAGCTTCCTGTTGGCAAGCCACACAAAACTTTCGCCGAGAAAAAAAAACTTTCGCGACCCCCTTCGCGGAACTTTCGCGAAGGTCAACGCTAAGACCAAAAGGCCTTCCCCTTCATAGCTCAATACAAGGACCTTTCGGACGACTCTCATATATATATATACACTCGTTTGATCGCCTTAGCCTCATCCTGGGTGATGCCATGCCCGTTACGTTAAAATGGTTTCAAATATCAAACTTGTGGGCCTAAAGACACACTTCCTCCTCGCGCATTCTTGAGATTCTCGATGATTTTCCACGGCCACGTGTCATGATAACACAAGGGCTGTGTGGTTTGGGCGTTGTAACCCAAGTAAACAAAGGGCACCAAGGCCCCTTTTTAAGTGTTCTTGTATCCCAGGGCTTCGCCCTTCATCTAAAGCCAGCTTCGGGCAGGTGCAGCATGCGGATCGGTTTGAGCTGTTCATGAATTTGGTACACCGGGGAAGGCTATAGAGCTCAATGTGGTTGTGTGGGTGTTTCTGTTTTTGAGGGTTCACCTTGGTTCAAAAGGGAAGCCAACAGGAACACTACCATTTTTTGAAGTTCCCCTATTTCAACATATCCCATCCTAGATCTTTCGATAACCATCCTGGTCCAAATGGAATCACTAGGTACATGCTTTCCAACAAAACATGAACTCTTTTGAGGGTTGCGACAAGAGCATGACGCGCGAGCTCAAGTCTCATGCCGATTTGTTTGGACCAGGAAGGTCGTCCAACTGGGTCCGATAAGGTGGCAAGTTCGAGGGCTCCAGAGACATTTTGGTGGAGGCCACTTTGGACCCAGTCCAAGCATTTCTACTAGGTGTTGACAATAAGTCAAAAAGAGTTCAATTGAGGGGTCCACGGGTAGCTTTGACGCAGGCAGAGCCTGGTTCATACTAGCTGAGCTGTTGGCGCATGGGGAACCCTATTGAAAAACCACTACAAAGGGGCCCCTTTCGCAACCCAAGGTGAA